CAGGGCTGTTTACAAAACAACATGCTAACGTTCAAAGTGACCCTGTATGATTGACATGAAAGGTCTATTTCCACACAAGAGGTCGTAGGTAAAGGTGGGAGTAGTCTTCACCTACACCACCTGTATCTGTGTACAATATGGCCTTAGTTAAATAACCCTTAACTACGATTACACACATTTGTAAGTCACCATCTGCATGTACATTGGCTTGAGTACAATACAAAGAGTTTTAAATATATATATTACAACTTTACACACACACACAAACTATCATAGTGGATACAAAGCCATTTTTATCCTCTTCATCACCAGTTCTAGTCGCGGTATAATAAAAATGAATATTAGATAATATTATGAATATACCTTATAATACATTATACAATCATAGTAATAACCATCCTTGGGGATTAACATGCAAAGCCGATTACTACACAAATAAAGAGGGCCCATACATTTAAACAGAAGAATTACTATACAGCAGACAGAATATGTTGTACTATAAATCACAGATCAAATCTATCACGACATACTTTCATTTACCTGGTGACATAGCCACACAGACATTACAACAAAGTGCAGTGATGATAAAGGAACACTCATTCATCTGTACATAAAAATATCCCTTATATGTACTACATGTTCCGAGATCAGAGTGAGACTAGTCATATGGTTCTTGTTTATATCAAACAATGTGTTTCTCACTTTCGAAATCAAAAATATCTTCTAACGAATTCTATTAAAGGACAAGTGTCATAAGATTTGTTTATATAAGTTTGTGTTTCTCACTTTTAAAATAAAAAAGGACAAATGTCGTAAGATTTGTTTATAAATGTTTTAATACACTAGGATTAATAGGCTATGTATATCCAGCTCGTTTGTTCTTCTTTAGGGATATAAGAACAGTCCGTACCAACCTTCGTTACCGTGAACACGACATGTTTATATACAGGTGTTGCAAGATAAATGGGACCACAAACAATCAGAGTTACGAGAATCTCTCAGTCTCTCTATAAAAGGTCTTGTTTAATCTTAAAAACAGAAACAATATTTTAACACTGAAGCAAAATCACAAACCACGATATCACTTTGCAAATCCATCAAAACAAGCTTCTTCTTTATCTGGTAAACTGAGACCAAATGTCAATCCCTAACATCACGTGTGGCAATAAAAGCCATTCTTATCATCCCTCACTACTAATGTTATACTTGGGAGTGGGGAGACAGGTGTGGCAATAACAGCCATTCTTATCATCCCTCACTACTAATGTTATACTTGGGAGTGGGGAGACAGGTGTGGCAATAACAGCCATTCTTATCATCCCTCACTACTAATGTTATACTTGGGAGTTGGGAGACAGGTGTGGCAATAACAGCCATTCTTATCATCCCTCACTACTAATGTTGTACTTGGGAGTGGGGAGACAGGTGTGGCAATAACAGCCATTCTTATCATCCCTCACTACTAATGTTATACTTGGGAGTTGGGAGACAGGCGTGGCAATAACAGCCATTCTTATCATCCCTCACTACTAATGTTGTACTTGGCTGTGGGGAGACACGTGTGATATTGAGACACTGGTTAAACTTTAATCATTACATTGATGTGAAATGTGTGTAGGATTTTATTAACATCAACCATCAAGTTTCTGCCCATGTTATATGTTATATATAAGATGGCCATATCAACACAAATTGAAATATTCAATGTTTATTACAGATATTTGATACTATTGATTGTGTCCCTGATTTGTCATTTCAGTAAAACAAATATCATAAATATGGTACAGAAGTGACTGTAAATCATGAACATGATAGCATTGGTTTGTTGATAAAATTCTGAGTTCTTTATAGTCCAAATTCTTATAATATATATATATATATATAACTTGTGCGAATACGTTTGTATAGTATATGTATATGTATATATGACAGACACAGGCTTGATAACATCTAGATCTCAAATACTGCGAAAGTTATTTTCCAAGAAGATTCCTTTTCATTAATTTAGCAAGTGCTCTTAATCTGTGAATTCATATGTTCATGAACTGTTAAAATAATTAATCAGAAAAAGCAAGTGTCCATGATATGTTACAGTATTTTGAAAAATCAAAAAAAATTGAGCTCCATGAAAAAATATGACTTTACAGTAATTCTGTTCCCTTCTTCATCCAGGTAAGAACATGGCCATGTTTTGGTGCTAACACATAAGGAAATTGAAAATGCTGGAAACAGATGTAAATTGCATGATACCCCCCATGATGATATCAGAATTGTGATAAATTGATTCATTATAAGCAATCACACACAATAAACATAATTCAATATCAGTAAAGTACATATATTTATTATTGAGCAAATTTCATTGCTTACAGAACCAGTTGGTAAGGAATAACCATACTTTTCTATAATTGAAAATATTTTACGGAATGTGTTGAAATGGAAATACAAAAATACTTGTATACAATCTATAAAAAATTATTTAAATTTGGTTAAAAAAAAGATATCTGTGCGAGTGGACATGTAAATAAGGATTGTTTACAAGCAGACAGGTCTAAACTGGATTTTTTTTCTCAAAAAGTCCATGCAGCTTCACTCTAATTTTAAGATGAACTACATTGTGTATGCCTTAACAGAAAACACCTGAGAAAACACCAAATACAATAGATATATATATATATATTAAGTAAACAGTTATACCTGCCTTATTATCTCTATAACAGAATCTAACCACAAAAATCAACAAATATCTGTTATTATGTAACTAAAATTTGATGACTATACATTGAGCCAGTTAACTGTTGTTATATTTACAGTCTATCATTGTTTTCCTATTTCCTAAAGCATCATCACAAACTTGTTTTGACTGCTGACCTAGCAGTCTTATTTCTTTCTTTCAACTTACTATTATATCTGTGTACCTTGGGGCAGGGAGAATCAAATTAGTATATAATATCTCCCAGTTCAGAGAGTGTAATAAACATGACTTGTGTGTACTAAAGGGCCATCTTACTCCTACACAATCACGACAGTGCTTTACACCAAACTGACTCCCAGTTATAGTGTCTGGTGTTAATACATCTAGGATTCTCTCAGCCATAGATAAAAACTCTCAATGTCACTTTAGAGTGATAACATTGTCAACTACAGATGTACTTTGATCGATTTACCTGGCATGTTGGGCTACAAACAAAGCAAAATAAACATTTTTTTTGTGATAAATTCGCAATGAACTTACCACACCTTCACATAAATATATCTGTTTCTATATATTCACTTGTGTAAAGAAAAGCAAAAAGTTGTAAAAGTTCTATAGAAGTTCTTTTTAATTATACTTTATCAATATGTAGAGAACACAAATACAAGCAGAATATCAGAATTTTTTCTACTTGACAGTTTGTTTGTTTATTTGTGGTTTTTTTTTTTTTTTTTTTTGAAACATTGAAAATCTAAATCTAGATTTTTTTCCCAAATGTCAAATATCTTCCTCAGACAGTGCAGAACTCTTTTATCATGGTTTCACAGCTGGCAATTTCTATATATTTTGGCTACTATAAAAGATGTTCAGTTGAACATTCTACAATCCTCTCCTACTATCCTTGTTCTATTTTTTTTTTATTTTCTTACATGCAACATGCAACATCACTTAATTGAAGTCACAAGTTTGTGTAGTTCATCTTCACCACATAACCTAGCATCTGATAGCATCTCAAGAAGGGGAGACAAATCAATATGAAAGGGAGATGATAATGGCACTTCAATCGTAGATCCATTCTGCTGGACAGTAAAACTGTGATAAATATCATTCTTGTAACTGTATAAAAGTATCCAACAATGTTATGCATTGTACACTTCCCCAATTTAGATTGAGTAAGTTGGATTTGTTGTTCAAATTACCTTGCAATTAGAAGCTGTACCATTATTGGAAACTGGCACAATAAAAGCAGGAATTTTATCAAGGAAGGGTGATTATTAGAACAAAGAATTTTGTCAAGTAAGGTGATTATTAGAACAAAGAATTTCATCAAGGAAGGGCGATTATTAGAACAAAGAATTTCATCAAGGAAGGGCAAATATTAGAATGAAGTATAAATGTGCTTAAACATTATACTAGAGAGTCTGAATCACTTTTTGGTATTAGCATATCAAATAGCATTTTCTCTATTGAAAATTAATTGCATCAATCCACTCTGCAAACATACTGTATTGTAAACACACCTCTTTTAGCTGTGATCAATTTTTACAATTTTGAACAAACTTAACTGCACTCATTATAATCGTTAAAAACCTCCATTTGATATTGACAGACAACAATATATGAATCATGAAAGTAGTTGCTGAATGCACAATAATATAAACATATAGGATTAGCATATGTAAAAAGTAAAGATATATGACTGGGGTTAAAGATTTTAAAAAGGATTATTTCTTGTAAACACAAAACTTACATGTATGTACTATTTACATCACATAAAACCAATAATGTGCCTCTCTCAATCACAAGGTCATATGTCCATGCATCACATCTAAACAAGAAAAGTGTTAGAAGTACTATTTAATAACAGACATTATAATTATCAGAATCATTTAGTCAGTGCTTCTATCATTTCATCATCTTTTAAAGAATGATTTCTGTACTTAATGTGTTGTTATAATTACTCGACACAATACTGCATCATACATACATCCTCTTGAGGTCCTGGGGACTGAATGTTGTAGCACACATTTTCCCATCAGTAGTTAACTGTGGTCACTCCTAAAGGAAACAGGTAATTCCTCTTCAGGTCCTGGGTACTGAGTTTGTTGTAACACACATTTTCCTATCAGTAGTTAACTGTGGTCACTCCTAAAGGAAACAGGTAATTCCTCTTCAGGTCCTGGGTACTGAGTTTGTTGTAACACACATTGTCCTATCAGTAGTTAACTGTGGTCACTCCTAAAGGAAACAGGTAATTCCTCTTGAGGTCCTGGGTACTGAGTTTGTTGTAACACACATTGTCCTATCAGTAGTTAACTGTGGTCACTCCTAAAGGAAACAGGTAATTCCTCTTGAGGTCCTGGGTACTGAGTTTGTTGTAACACACATTGTCCTTCTGGTTGGTATGGAAGTGACTCTTATGAAAGTGTGCTGTAGTGGTCAGTACTTCTGCCTCATCATCTTTATAGGCAGCTATGAAGTTCGTGGAGAAATTTTCATTGTGTACATTTAGATTTTCCATTGCCCATTGCATCTTGACATCCGACACTAACCTCTTCTGTGATCTTGGTGTCCGCGTCTTTTTCATCATCCTCTGAGTAACTGAGAGTGTTTTCTTGAATTTTTCACCTTCGGGCGATTTCTCAGGAGTAACTAAGGTCACATTAAATGCAGTTCCTTTGTTACGAATCATCAGAAGGAAAATTTGGAAAAGTCTCTCCTCATCAATACGAGGTGTTACAATGTACAGCGTGGCTCCACATCCAAACCAATCATCTATCAAACTCTTCCAAAGTCGCATGATAAAGTCATGCTGCATGATGCCCCCTCCCTCTGGTATCATGTCAAGCAAATCCTGGACCTGGCAATGAACAAGAAATACTTGTTTTAATTCTAAATCAAAAGGTTTGACTGATGACATATATATATACATGTACAGCCTGGGTGGTCAGTTACAGGTAAACATATAAGTTACAGGCGGAGAGTTGGTGGTCAGTTACAGGTAAACATATTAGTTACAGGCGGAGCGTTGGTGGTCAGTAACAGGTAAACAGTAAACATGTTAGTTACAGGCGGAGAGTTGGTGGTCAGTTACAGGTAAACAGTACACATATTAGTTACAGGCGGAGAGTAGGTGGTCAGTTACAGGTAAACATATTAGTTACTGGCGGAGAGTTGGTGGTCAGTAACAGGTAAACAGTAAACGTGTTAGTTACAGGCGGAGAGTTGGTGGTCAGTTACAGGTAAACAGTACACATATTAGTTACAGGCGGAGAGTTGGTAGTCAGTTACAGGTAAACAGTACACATATTAGTTACAGGCAGAGAGTTGGTGGTTAGTTACAGGTAAACAGTAAACATATTAGTTACAGGCGGAGAGTTGTTGGTCAGTTACAGGTAAACAGTACACATATTAGTTACAGGTGGAGAGTTGGTGGTCAGTTACAGATAAACAGTAAACATATTAGTTACAGGCAGAGAGTTGGTGGTCAGCTACAGGTAAAGAATGAATGTGTCAGTTACAGCAGATACAGTGTAGACACAATGAACACATCTGTTACAGGTAGGGCTGGGAATTGCCAACGAAAAACCGATACAACACATATTGCAATACAGAGAAACAGGTATACAATCCATATTGCCAATACAATATGGAAGTACTAAATTTGACTAATAGTCTAATAATGCTACTAATAGCCTACTATTGCTTATTTCTTCAGATTTTACAGCAACTGATATGTTTAATTTTTCAATTTACATATAATTACTGCACACTGCAAGATCATATTACTAAGATGTTAATAAAATAATCAGATAGTCAGAATAAAGCCTTTTTTGTCAATTATATTTATTAATAATTCAAGAGGGGACATGCTTAACTTACAGGTAAATTGAGGGATATCAAAGTTACAGACAAACAATGAATAGTCAGTTACAGGTAAAGAGTGAATGGTTAGTTACAGGTAAAGAGTGAATGGTTAGTTACAGGTAAAGAGTGAATGGTTAGTTACAGGTAAAGAGTGAATGGTTAGTTACAGGTACACTTACCAGTTTAACAGTAAATGGTCAGTTACAGTGAACATAAATTGCAGGTTAAATCTCAGAATGTTCAATTACACATAACAGATAACAATATGCCCATGTCATATAAAGCAAGAGGACAAAAGTCAAGAACAAAATTCACCCAGGATTATAATGTAGACACTGAAACTCAAGACTGTAAGTCAGAGAATGTAAACCTGAAAACCTGCAGGATCTTCAACTGCATTCCACCAGATAAAACATGCAGGGATCATATCAGAATTGAAAAATGGAACAAGTGGGCATTTTTATTCCCAATAACGAAGCTACAGATGTATATATCCAAGTCTAGCTCTGTAACATTAACTAGATGTTATCAGCCTGTCTACACATACATTGTAATTTCATTACTTAATTAGCCAGCATACAGCTATGGTGTATGATATGACATACCTATATATACTGTGTACAGGTATACATTGTTTACGATATCAGTCTCTACAACATATTTATACATACTTGCCATTATCAATATCTTATTGATCTTTTCATGTCTATTCCCAAGAAATTTTCTATAAACAAATGATATTAAATATCTTGATGCAACCAGCTTCAGTGTCAATTTAATCCCTTGTAACATAACTTGATTTTTCAATCCTGTTTAATTAAATCCCCATGTATACTGCTTCAAATAAAAATATATATATATATAATCTGGTGTACTATCTTTATATATTTAATGTCAAGTCTAGCTTGTAAAAATAAATGTGTAATACAGTTAATTTCTATAGTGAAAATTTTTGACGTTAAAAGATTTTCAAGAATTACTTATCTCTAATGAAGCTGACACTACATTAAATTCACCACAGAAAATACAGATATAACATATTGTAAACATAAAATTTCGTTCAGTATTTGTGGCAAATTGGTACAATGATCAATTAATGACATACTGAAATTATATTTTTGCATAATACTTTCAGCACATAAAGCACTAAAAGGATTATTGCTAATTAAGTAAATCTAAGAGAAATCTATGTTTTCTTTTCTTAAAACAGAAAAGCACAAAACTTTATTTTCAAATCCCTTAGTAACACTCAACAAAATAAGAAAGGAGCAAGAAAAAATTATACAATAAATGAATGAGAAAAATTCCAGAATTAGGTATGATATCAGCAATCTTATCAATGTATTTCAAGGCCTCAGACAGACACAACAAACACATTGGAGATTTTTAAATCCTTTCTATTTTCTGTTTTACTCCTTCACCTAATACGTCCCTTCATTTAAACCAAACCTTAATTGCCATAGGGAATGACTCTTACTGTTCAAATCTGCAGCAGCCTTTTATGATATACAGCTGCAAATGAGTAGTACTGGTGTTAAATAGTGGAGACAGTAAAAGTGATATTTACAGCTGCAATAATCACCATATTCTGTCACAGCTTGCAATATACAGTAATAAGATTATCTTTTTCTGATCTATAGATTAATAAGTGCTGTGTTTGAGTGTAATTAGAGAAATCTCAGTTACTTTTCTTCAGTGGAATTGAGACGCCAGGACCATTCTAAATCCAGGAAAATTTCACTCACATTCCATGGTCAGTAGTCATTAATATCTTAAAATATTGTGATTTGGATAAATCGTACCCATTAAAAGTATTTTGTATGCATGGTACATCACTGTCAACCTATCATAAACTGTTTTTATTGACCAATCACTTACACTGAATGTCTAACCTCAATCTTGGATTTAAAGTTGTCTGAATAGGTAAGTCAAAAAAGTATTCTTAAATCACATACAGATGTAATCATCAGTCTTTTTTTCTGACAAATTCCTTCAAATCACATACATTTTGCTATCAAACTTTAATGAACACATTCAAACTTATTTTTTTTTTTACATTTTGGTTTGAGTCACCATATTCCCGAAAACAGCACTGCAAAATCTCCTGTATTTCAAAAATGAAGCAGACATATCAAATTTCAATAAAAAATGATGCAAAAGGTTTTTTTTTCTTTTGTTCAGTACTATAGAGTTAATGCAAAGAGTGATTACTTTTTTATTTCAGGCCAAAACAGTAACACAACATGAACACACTGACAACTTTAATGTTGCAGACTGATGTTCTATGCTAAATACAGGTCAAATGTTGATTTTTTTTTTAAGTGAATTGTGATGACAGAGAGCTGACCTTGGTCATGGACATTTTAATTCATTCTAAAATGAAGATTGAAAAAATGATTTCTCAATTGCTTGGTCTTATTTCTTTGGTTATTTAACGTGACCAAGTTTGATCCATAGGAGTTTCGAGCACTTGGAATAACAGAACGCTTGAATCTGATAATCCATCCTACATCTCCTCAAAATCTGTATGAAAATACAAGAATGATAAACACACTAAATAAAATTTAGCCACGTATTACCTCCTCCACATTCTTGTCGAGCTGAAGGTACCGCGTAACAGAATCAGCTACTGACTGCTGTTCCTCTAGTTCCTGAGCATCAGCGTTACCCTGGTCCAACACCTCCGAGAAGTTGTCCACCATCCATCGCCAGTGGTTCTTGCCACCAACTTTCATAATCCCTGTGCGCTTGTTGACTTTAAGTGTCACACCGTCTGATGGTTTGATCTTAGTGATGTCTGCTTTTTCCCTGTATACCTGATCAGGGTATAGGGCCTTAAACACTCTTAACCACCATGATGTCACATCTCCCTTGTATGATGTCACAACAACAACTTCATTCCCCTTGTCGAAAAAATCTATATCAAATGGGGTGGGTGTTGCCCATATTTGGGACAGAACCTGTAATCGTTCCTTCTTTGAAGGCATGATTACGATTTATATGTCCATAATAGAGGTAAGAACAGATTACAGGTGGAAAACCGTGTACAAGTCACATGTGTAATGTTGACAAATCGCTCTGTAGGTTTTACACCATCATATAACGCTATCTGATAAGTCCCTGCTCGATAAAACACTACCGGATGTTTTCAGGTGTGTTTACGTTCTAAATACCTGCCGGGCGAACGTAAATTTTAGTCTCTCAATCCCACGTAGAAATCTTCGTCGATTTGTTGTTCACAATGACTGGTTAAATATCCATTTGAAACGTTTGTAATTAAGATACTGGACTTAATAATTATACTTAACACGCTGACTCAGAATGGTACTTCCTACTTTGTAACACCTTACGGCTTACCTATGCGTGTCATTACCTGTCTCTTGATTGGTCGCTCGATAAGGAATTGGCCAATCACAGCGCTTCTAACATATTTTTACGATAACAAGCAGGTAAAATATAGCAATGTGACGTGTTTTCTATTTTTATAGGAAATTCCACAGGTACGCCCTCATATCCTCTAAATGACATGAAATACAATTTGCCCATCATAATCATGAACTAAAATTCCACTAAAGTTAACGTTGTCTTGAAAGAATTCACCTATTTATCATCATTAAAGAATGTTATCCAGTACAATTATTGGCCATTGTATAATTGTTTCATACTTGTTCGACGCTCAGCTGAGACAGAAATTAAACATATAAGCTATTTATTCATTCTATTATTACCTTTTTTCTGTTTATTTCATTCATTTATTTGTTGTTATTCTATTTTTAATACTACTTTTATCAATTACAATTCAGGTATATCTAAACAAACCGAACACACACACACACACACCCTCACACCACCACCACCAACAACAACAACACACACACACACACACACACACACACACACACACACACACACACCCTCACACCACACACACACACACACACACACACACACACACCCACACCCACACACACACACACACACACCCACACACACACACACCACACACACCACACACCACCACCACCACCACACACACACACCACACACACACACACACACACACACACACACACCCTCACACCACACACACACCACACACACACACACACACACACACACACACACACACACACACACACACACACACACACACACACACACACACACACACACACACACACACACACACACACACACACCCTCACACACACACACCATACACACAACCACACACACACACACACACACACACGCACACACACACACACACACACACACACACACCACCACCAACACACACACACACACACACACACACACACACACACACACACACACACACACCCACACACACACACCCACACACACACACACACACACACACACACACACACACACACACACACACACACACACACACACACACACACACACACACCCACACCCACACACACACATACACCCACCCACACCCACACACACACCCACACACCCACACCCACACACACACACACACACACACATTTGTATTGATTTACCGATTTAATTCATTATATTTATTTCTGGCAGTATTTGTATCAATTGCATACCTTTTCATTTAATCATATCTTCTACGCTGTATTACGCAGTGTACCATTTTAAATAAAATCGCAACATATCTTACATTTCATTACAGGCACAACCTTCTTGGGAAACGAACTGTTTTTGAGTTACATATTATCATGTATTCTCTTACTATATCATTTTGTACGCCCCCCTCACCCCTACCTCTCACCCCCACCCCCACTCCACCCCAAACCCTCACCCCTACCTCATCCCCCATCCCCCTCCCCCACCCCCACCCCACCCCCGATTCCCTCACTTCACCCTACTCCTCACCCCCTCCACCCCATCTCCAACCCTTTTCCGCACTTTACCTTTCCAACATGAAAACATATCTACCCAACGCCTTCTGTTCTGTCTTTATGATATGACGATGTTGTGTATTTTCAGGTTGGACAGGGTTGGCTGCAATATCCGAGATGACTGTAAGTGGAATATTCTACCTGACAACAGAACAAGTCAGTGTTCAGAAGACACTTATCTTCCAGAAAGGTATTACTATATGTTGAAAAGCCGAGATTTGTTGAGGGCAACTATATGATCGTTTCATCTTCGTGTTTTTGATCGTGTTACCTATAATAAATTTATCAATCCTAAATACCATATCATGTTTATTTATGGGCAGCGATTGTTTTAATTTCGATATTTCAAATTTGCTTAACGTTGTGCACAAACCACGAAACACGTGGTTGCTCGAAATACAATTAAGTGATTTTTTTTCGTTAAATTTTAAGTCCACTGCATTCATAATGTGGGTCTTTATACGTACCAAGGACGAGACTGTTCAATATTGGCTTTCTGTTGTATAATACTTAAAACCTATGTTGTTCCTACCACGTACCTCATGAAAGTTGCGAAAGTGAGAAATATGCTTTCTTTCTTCCTATTTCTTTCTTCTATTTTATATTATTTATCTACAACAAAACTTGTTTTTATCTTATTGCAAAAATCCTTCGAAAATAAACCCCAAATAATGTGAAAGAGTTGAACAGTCTTGTCTTCTCAGAAGAGTGACAACACATGTTCTTGGTTTTGTTATCATTGCCTCGGTAATCCGGCTATGCCATATATTGTTGAAGCGAAGCGCGCCAGTAAATAGATGAATTGAGATTCATTGAAACCATATTTTTAGGAAGATTCATGTATAAAGGATGTTGTACGAAATAGTTTCCTGGTGACAACATGCTATAGGATCTCAACAAGGATGCACTTCGATGTGCAGTCATTAAATGTGTATGTTAACTTTCTGAAAAATGCACTTCTTCCATGTCGTCACGCCATGCGTCAATTGTTAAACTGAAATAACGATTTCTTATAGCAATTTTCTTTTGATGTCTAGGTCAGGAGGACTGGTAGAGCTAGGCGTTGTGTTTCATTCTCTTTGTATTACTGCATAATGTGATGAACCCAATACTTTTATGAAAATACCCGAGCGAAAGGAATTTCCGCCATTGTTTTCAAACATACTGAATATACAAATAAAAATTCCTTGTTGTGATATCTGTTCCCTGATTTATAATTCTTGACGTTTCTGAAAGTGTTTGTCTCTTCGAAGACTCCATTTCTATCGTCCTCTGTTTATGTTATATACTTGTGTCGTCTTCACACGACACGTTTTTCTTGATACGTCTAATCACATGACCTGTTTTTGTATCGTCTGATCACATGACCTATTTTTGTATCGTCTAATCACATGACCTATATTTGTAATGCCTAATCCCATGACCTAAATTTGTATCGTTTGTTCACATGACACATGATTATTGTGTCGTCCATCCACCTATATTTGTAGATACGAGGCGGTTGTTTATTTCCCGTGTATGGGACTGTACAGTAAGCTGAGCCCTACTGACCAGAAACAGGTTGTGACAGAGGTCAAACTCAAGGTCAAGAAAGCGCTAGATCTCTACTCAAATAAATCGACTTTCGCATTTCGTTACGGACAGGTATGCTTTTTGAAAGGCGCTATTCACTTGTGCGCGTTTTGTACAATCGTTCAGAAAGTAGGTAGCAGACACCGCTGGTCCCCGAGGTTTGATGTAACCTGCATGCCACGTTTTAATCCATTCGACTAGTAGCACGGTTCAGACTATACACATGTACTTGACGCCGTTGTAAAATTATCTGATATATATATGTGTGTAGTTTACGAGCTGCTGCACCTCCCCGACTAGATTTCCACTCATCTTTCGACCACTTTGGAATTTCCTCAGTAACTTCCCAGGCTTCAAATTTTACGCCCTTAGCATCAATGATGAGTCCTAGAAGGACGAAACAGCTGTATGATATAGCATTACTGATGAGTCCTAGAAACAGCTGTATGATGTAGTTTGATTACTTGTTTTTGTTCTACTGTATCAAACTTTAACCTTAACCAACCCCTCTGTTCCTTGTACTTGTACTCTGCATCTTCTCCACCTACCTCGCTGAAAAAACATATCAATCTCCTATGTTTCATTTTTTAGGATGATATGACAATTGGTGCTAAAGTAGAATTTACCTTCCAAGGAACCATACAGGATCCAAGGATTTCCAACTCATTGCAGTATTTGGCACAAGTGATGGGAGGTTTGTATATAAATATCGGCCGTCAGAAATACAGTGGATACAACGAACCAAGGCGGAAACGACACTTCACCAAGTAAGTGTAGAGGTTACAGAGCGAAAATGTTGTCTTTTTGGAAATGTGATATTAAGAAATTCTATTCTACCTGTTTCGTTTGTGCATTCTATGATATTAACTTTGCAGCCTACAGGTGGTTTTGACTGTATCCACTTTCGACTTTGATCGACTACTCCTGACAAGCCCACTGACAGCCAGAGAGGAAATCGAGAATGCTGTGCGATCCTTGGTGAACCGATATTTTATTCCTGTCATTGCTCAGACTCTCACAGACATACAGCCTTACCAGGTATATAATTATCTCTGTCATTGCTCAGACTCTCACAGACATACAGCCTTACCAGGTATATAATTATCACTGTCATTGCTCAGAATCTCACAGACATACAACCTTACCAGGTATATAATTATCACTGTCATTGCTCAGACTCTCACAGACATACAGCCTTACCAGGTATATAATTATCACTGTCATTGCTCAGACTCTCACAGACATACAGCCTTACCAGGTATATAATTATCTCTGTCATTGCTAAGACTCTCACAGACATACAGCCTTACCAGGTATATAATTATCTCTGTCATTGCTCAGACTCTCACAGACATACAGCCTTACCAGGTATATAATTATCTCTGTCATTGCTTAGACTCTCACAGACATACAGCCTTACCAGGTATATAATTATCTCTGTCATTGCTAAGACTCTCACAGACATACAGCCTTACCAGGTATATAATTATCACTGTCATTGCTCAGACTCTCACAGACATACAGCCTTACCAGGTATATAATTATCTCTGTCATTGCTAAGACTCTCACAGACATACAGCCTTACCAGGTATATAATTATCTCTGTCATTGCTTAGACTCTCACAGACATACAGCCTTACCAGGTATATAATTATCTCTGTCATTGCTCAGACTCTCACAGACATACAGCCTTATGCTCATACCTTCAGAAATGATCATGTCACACGTCCAGAAATGAACAAGTCATATCTCCAGAAATAATCATGTCATACCTTTAGGAAGAGTCACGCCATACCTATTTAACTCAAGTCGATGATTACAGTTGAACAAATAAATAACGAGAAAACAAGTTCTTGGACGACAAGGCTTTGCCTCAATAGCGACGACAAGGGTTTGCCTCAATAGCGACGACAAGGGTGTGCCTCAATAGCGACGGCAAGGGTGTGCCTCAATAGCGACGACAAGGGTGTGCCTCAATAGCGACGACAATTGTGTGCCTCAATAGCGACGACAAGGGTGTGCCTCAATAGCGACGACAAGGGTGTGCCTCAAGAGCGACGACAAGGGTGTGCCTCAATAGCGACGACAAACGTGTGCCTCAATAGCGACGACAAGGGTTTGCCTCAATAGCGACGACAAGGGTGTGCCTCAATAGCGACGACAAGGGTGTGCCTCAATAGCGACGACAAGGGTGTGCCTCAATAGCGACGACAAGGGTGTGCCTCAATAGCGACGACAAGGGTGTGCCTCAATAGCGACGACAAGGGTGTGCCTCAATAGCGACGACAATTGTGTGCCTCAATAGCGACGACAATTGTGTGCCTCAATAGCGACGACAAGGGTGTGCCTCAATAGCGACGACAATTGTGTGCCTCAATAGCGACGACAAGGGTGTGCCTCAATAGCGACGACAAGGGTGTGCCTCAATAGCGACGACAAGGGTGTGCCTCAATAGCGACGACAAGGGTGTGCCTCAATAGCGACGACAAGTGTGTGCCTCAATAGCGACGACAAGGGTGTGCCTCAATAGCGACGACAATTGTGTGCCTCAATAGCGACTGTCTTACCCTTTCTCTTATACCAGTGTTCTCTGCGTGATATGGCACTGGTCGACTAATGTTGAGATACATCTTCTCCTTTTTAGACTGACAGTATATATTTTCCATGCGTAATATTCTTTAATATCTCCACGGTATGGCATGGAAGTTACAATGCTGAAAAGTCAATGGCCCGACAGACAATGGTCTGAGCTTGTATTTTGTTGTCCCGTTTAAAGTCCGTTAGTCATTTATGCATTTGGGACTCGTTCTAGATTATTTCTATTTATGATGTGTAAATCATTAGACAGGTATTCGACTGTTTTGTTTTTATTTCTGGTGTAGGTGCTAAGATATTACTTAACATTTACACATGTCAATTGTTTCTCCCAGCTATAGTCTGATGCTGTTCAAACACTCTATTTTGTTTCCAGACGTATTTACCTTTTATGGTGTGGCAGTCGTCAGAGAGTGACCTTGACCTAGAGTTCTACTACGACCAGATTCGTAGAGACGTAGACGCTGGACGTGTTTTGATAACTCTTGGAGGAACACATTACTCTGTAGATAACCTGTACTACCAAGGAAGCTTCTACCAAATCTGTCCAAGACCTTGTCACCAAAAGTAAGCAAACGAACATTCTTTCTTCATGCGTTTTTCATACTCGTTTCTATTGGACAGAAAAAACATATGATAAAATACAAAGACATCATACTGGAAACTACATGTATCTTTTATCTATAGTTGCAACCATATCTCAATTAGGAATATTCTGTTATCATGGCTGGTGTCATCGATGAAGAGCAAGACGTTTTCCCTGCAGATAGACATGATCTTATTTTTTCCAGTGTTTTTCATGTACATCTTTCTCTTTTTTTCTTGTTCTGCCTTCGTTTCAAGGATTTTAAGTTTGGATTACAAATTTTCTATTTTGTCGGTATGTTCATGACATTTTTCTCATTGTTTTTAAATGTAACCTGCATGTGTTTTGTACTTACATACATACTAGCCACGTAACATGGATGTCTTTTATTGCTCTATTCCGACACATATACAGGGTGTATACCAGATATTTTTAGTTGTAAAAACAGACAAGCGTAAGTCCTATACAGCATATGACAACTCATATAGATATTTTGTACAGCTACAGCATGAAACCGCATCATTTAAGATAAGACATATTGTTGTTATTGAGCTAAATTGTAATGAGGCAATTTCCCTCGCGCTTTTCGGTTCATAATGCATTTCTTTAAAGCTCGAATTGTATAAACAACTGTAGTTCCTCACTCAAGCTTTGTCAACGCTTTTTTCCCGTGTTGTATTTCAGCCTAACTCGAAGTCTCTGTAACTCATTACCAAGCTGCAGTTGGTCACACCAGCTTGGACAATGTACCGCAAATGCCTTACTACCTGAAAAGTAATTATACTAATTGATCATCAATATTCTTTATCGTTTATATAATTCGAATATTTTGATTTGATTTCGATTTTATATTGTTGTCAAATTGATTAGGTTAAGATGCGGTAATGAATTGGATATATCAACATCATTAATCCCTGAAATTCAAACAAACCTTAGTGAACAGAGGGTCATGGAGACGGAAAACCTGATACTATCTGACAAATCAACGGCCATATTCATATATATCTTGTTTAAATGATCTATAGTACTGCTGATTCATTCATGTATATATGTATATTCTATTTAATCCAGTATAACGTTTTTCACTATTAACCTATAGACATGAGGTGACCGTTTTAGTTCCGTGTGATGTTTTACCTCACCAATCAGTCCAGGAAAAAGACGTCCTCATTGCGTCCTTCAGACAGAGAGTAGAGAGTGCCTTACATATGTATCCAAACATCAGCACTAGAAACGTCCACAGCTTCGGAGTCGGTCATGTAAGCTACTTGCTATCTGGAAGCATGTTCGGGTTACAACGGTTTTCTAAATGACTTAATAATCGAAGCCCGGTTTGCTATCATAATTGGTAAAGAGAACAAAAAATAGAACACAAAGAATCAGTATACTTCTGGTGACAACACAATAAATTAGGATCAGCTGTAACAAGATTTTTGACCAGAACCGGATCCACTTGTTATATAAATCACCTAATTCTCTAGCACGATGATTAAGTATTTCGTATGTGAATGTTTATAGGTGTACCCCAGCAGCCTGGTGTTCACGGTTCAGCGGTCAATGCAGAGTCCACCGCTGTCACGCATGGTCAAGGATCTCGAGGCCTGGATAGCCAACGGAGAGCTCAAGATCAATATGGGGCCAAATGGTACCCACATCACAGCAAGGGGTTTAGGTAACTTCACAGAGTAAGTAAAGTGTAAACCAACTGTACTTTTACCCACAACTAGAGGGTCGCAATGTTTGTAACTTTATAGTGTCAGTATTATACTTTAGAGAATCAGTATTGTATACGGCAACATTATTCTCCTCACATTTAGAAGACTACAATGTTGGTAACTTTAGAGAGTCAGTATTGTATAAAGCAACATCATTCTCCTCACATTTAGAAGATTACATTGTTTGTAACTTTAGAGAATCAGTATTGTATAAAGCACCATCATTCTCCTGGCATTTAGAGGATTACAATGTTTGTAACTTTAGAGAGTCAGTATTGTATAAAGCACCATCATTCTCCTGGCATTTAGAGGATTACAATGTTTGTAACTTTAGAGAATCAGAATTGTATACAGCAACAATACCCTTGCGATTGCAAGAGATATAAGTAACTTTTAAGAGAGTAAGCATAGAACAACTAGTTCAGAACTCTCTATAAAGCGATTCAAAAGTACTCACATGGAAGCAGATGCATTGAATTATGTAGCAACGTCAGAACAGAAAACAAGCATTAGTCACACAAAATGGATTAACTAGATTACTTCATTTTGAACAATGTCCCGACTACTTATCCGATGTATGTGTGTACACGTGTGAAGGTGTGTGTGTGTGTGTGTGTGTGTGGTGTGAGTGTGTGTGGATATTTATTTTTTTGCGTTTTGTTGTTGAAGGCTCGAAGTTTCGTTACTATATGAACTGATCGATTTTACGGATACTTCAAACTTGCCATTACGCCAGTCATCTGCTAAAAATATCACCAGGCTTGTCTCTGACGTGTTACCTTTGGATGCCATCTCTGTTCTTAACTTCAGATTTTCTCGGGTTTGCATTTTGTGATTTGTTTTGAAATGTACTCCATCTTATCTAAATTGTTTTCTGTCTTTGAATGACTGCAAATAATAAAAAAAAACCATCATGCTAAAGAAATGTACAGTCTAATATACTGAAATTCCGAAGCGATCTTGTTACATGATATGGTATCATATGATATGGTAATCGCAAGTTGCTAGCAACTTGAATGTATATCCCACAGTTCTTTTACATAGGATATATCGTTTTCTACAGAATTACGTCATACTCAACGCTGTAAAATCAGCGACAGGAACAATGAGCCTTAAAGATATTGAAAATGTCATACGAGATCTGTGGAAGCTCGGAGGATTTGGAGTAGTCAATGGCAACCTCAAACACATACCGAAACAAATTCTCTTCCAGGAGAAATTCTATAGTAATTGTACAATAGACTGTTCTACAAGGTATGTGTTACCCAAGCGAGTATGACCAGCTCCATATTGGACAGAACTACTTTATGGGATTAATATACAGGTTCTCTCAAAAATGTCCTTCTGTCTGCTGTTGAACATTACACTGGTTTAGCGTCAGAAAAGCTGATGGTCTAAACTTTACGGTAAACTTTGGGGGCTAAAATTCCAAAGTTGATAGCACATTTTAATAAAATTGAAATAAATAAAAATAGTACAAAATAAGGTGTTTTACTGCATCAAAGAATTATGTTGTCCCTTTAGACTCTGTACTGATGCTAAGGGCGAAGATTTCAAAACCTAGGAGGGACTGAGGAAAATCAAAATTGTTTGAAAGACATGCCAAACACTAGAGGGGGAGATGTACTAGCCATATCTTTCAATAAATTTCGTAATTTTTAACTGTATATTCAACTTTTTATAACTGTGTAGATAAGAAGACTTTCCTTTGCAGAACTGACCCTGATCACTGCAACAAATTGAAAGAGTGCGTTTGGTCTACCGAGAGAAACGTATCATTCTGTAAGACGGATCAGATGTTACCAGACAGGTAGTAAAACATTATTTCCCGAATGTTCACATGTATATCGACCAAATGTACAATATTAAGATATCACACAATGTACAGTATGATATGACAACGTACACCAGTATAATGTTCCCACGTAAACACATATCATATATCCCAATGTAAACCCCTACAATGCTCCAGTAATATATCCCATTGTAAACAAGCAAAATGACCCAAAGACCAACACCATATCCTATTTTGCACAAATACTTGTGTTCTGATATTATAAAAGTAATCTGTATATTGTTTCTAAGTGGCACTTAATATATTTATATAGATACCAGATTGATCTTTTCGCCCCTTGTATGGACTTAAACATGCTTTCCGTGGCCGAGGTAAATGATATGGAACGATTGCTTCTTGGAAACTTCACTGCCATTCTGGGTTCTCCTAAGTCAAATGTCATCAGAAATGTTACCATTACACAGGTAAGCTTTGATGGTAATAAATGACAGGAGTGATTTTTTAAGATGATCTACATATAAAATAAGCTCTATCAAAAGTTTATTAGACCAGGAAAAACGCCGTTAATACAATACCCGGGTGTTAACTGATGATTAATGTCTCGTTTGCTTGCATTCCTCGCAAACGTTATACAAAATAACCAATTTATATCATACTTTTACCTAACCCTGCAAATTCTCTCTCGAATCTTTCCGATTTTGTGTACCAAACAGAAAGGTGTGCGTGTAAGTCTACAGGCCAGCGTTCAGATGCCTTACTTAGATACATACATCGCCATTTTATCCAACTACACGGACTACAGAACTGGTTATAGATTTGGCGTCACATCACGTAAACCTCTGTCATTTAGAGACCCATTTGATTATACCAAGTAAGTACCATAGAACTTATCCAAATGTTACTGTGTTAACCATTTACATCTAACTGTCCTACCTATAACTGACTTCACCCTAACCACAAAATCTGGGCTAGTCACTAGACTGATTAGATATCAATCAGGCTGACGAAGTAGTTGTTGAATTGATCATATGTCAACCAGGCTGACGAAGTAGATACTGGACTGGGTATATGTCAACCAGGCTGACGAAGTAGATACTGGACTGGGTATATGTCAACCAGGCTGACAAAGTAGATACTGGACTGGGTATATGTCAACCAGGCTGACGAATAGATACTGGACTGGGTATATGTCAACCAGGCTGACGAAGTAAGATACTGGACTGGGTATATGTCAACCAGGCTGACGAATAGATACTGGACTGGTCATATGTCAACAAGGGTGACAAAGCAGGTACTGAATTGGTCATATGTCAACCAGGCTGATGACGTAGATACTGGACTGGTCATATGTCAACCAAGCTGACGAAGTAGATACTGGACTGGGTATATGTCAACCAGGCTGACGAAGTAGATACTGGACTGGGTATATGTCAACCAGGCTGACGAAGTAGATACTGGACTGGGCATATGTCAACCAGGCTGACAAAGTAGATACTGGACTGGGTATATGTCAACCAGGCTGACGAATAGATACTGGACTGGTCATATGTCAACCAGGCTGACAAAGTAGATACTGGACTGGGTATATGTCAACCAGGCTGACGAATAGATACTGGACTGGTCATATGTCAACCAGGCTGACAAAGTAGATACTGGACTGGGTATATGTCAACCGGGCTGACGAATAGATACTGGACTGGACATATGTCAACCAGGCTGATTACGTAGATACTGGACTGGTCATATGCCAACCAAGCTGACGAAGTAGATACTGGACTGGGTATATGTCAACCAGGCTGACAAAGTAGGTACTGAATTGGTCATATGTCAACCAGGCTGACAAAGTAGATACCGGACTTGTCATGTGTCCACCAAGCTGACGAAGTAGATACTGAATATATTAAATTTCAACTTGACTGACGACGCAGTTACTAGATTGTTTAAATATTAACTAGGCTGAAGAAATGGTCACTGGACTGGTTAAATATTTACTAGGCTGACCAAGTGGTTACTGGACTGGTTATATTTCAACCAGACTGACAAATTTGTGTATAGACAGGTTATATAATAACTTAAGAACTCACTCGTGTATTCCAAATATCTCGCTGGCTTTTATCAGTGAAGTCAACACACAAGGTTCTGTTTATAATATCTCAGCTAAGTATTGCATTTTTCATGTTTTATGTTGCAGTGTTCTAATCAAACTCACATTTAACAGCATTGACTTTGAGATACTGAAGATTAAGTACACTTACGATGACTTGACGGCGAAAGTTGTCCAAAGTCTCAATAACGTGTTACTGGGAGTGTTGGTGCAATCCTTGGAAATTGTTTCCATTTACAGGGTATGTTGTAAAGAAATACGTACCTGCAGGTTTGTTTCTAAGTGAATATAATTTTACAAGATAGTGTGCTTCCTTTCTGTTTATTAGAAATATCCGTTCCTTCAGAGTATAATGGAGTAAATCCATGATTTGCAAACTCGTCTTTCTGGAGACATAGTTTTTTTATAATTTTTTTTTACTTTTGAAAGATTTTGACACAAGTGCACAAAACAAGACATCCATACATCCATCCACCCATAGACACAGTAAATGAAGTAATGGCTTTAATGTAACATTACTTCTTCGTACGACTTTGTCTATGATAGATATATTTAACAGTTGCCATCAAACCCTATTTAGGATTATAATTTCTATCACATTAATGTTTTGCACCAATTTTATTCCTATATGGTGACTGATATTATTCACATTTTTTTCATCATGTTTGGTTCATTGAATGTTTCCTTTGTTCCATTTATTTATGCATTCATTTTCCCAACTATATATATATTGCCCTTCTTACTTTTGTATGCAATTACAATTGATACATCAAAAGTGACTTTTTTATTCAAAGAAACATGTGACATCTTATTTTGGATATTTTTAGGAAGTTGTGGAATTCACATTGCGAAAAGATGGGAATAGTAAAGTGAACATGGACAAGGAAATTCGTCTCCTATCCAACACGATAGAGAAAGGTGGACTCGTTCTGAATATACCTTTCGTAAGACCGGTTGTTGCCTCCAACATGTTCGTCACGGGCTCTTTTAAAGAGTGAGTTAGACTCAGAACTGTGCCCAAGTTATACAACAAATTGAACATATTTCTGTGAATAGCAAATTGATGTTTGTTAATGTTTAAACGTAGAAATATATTGAAGTCGATATATTGTGTAATAAAGTGTAGTAAATGATATTGTGCTATATGTCTATATGATTTATTTCTTTGTTGTAAAGATTGTGTCCTGATAAATACCCCGTGATCACTACAACGACAGTGAACGTTCCAATTACGGTCTCGGCAGCCAATATTACACCCTCACAGGTTCGTACAATTTACCATCAGATCATGATAGATACTTAAAAGTATTTTAAACACTTATTTATTCGCAACAAAGAATTTTAGTTCAAACACATGACTATGCCTTCGCTATACCATATTATAGAAATCTGTCTTATCACCATGTATACAGATATGTATATATATAACGTTGAATATCATTGCGTCATTAAAACTCACAAGAACAGGTGCGAGTATCTTTATATCTAAAGGTTCAATATGGATTGTTTTAGTCAAATAAAATTGATCGTGTGTACTTTTCAGTCACAATGACATTTTCCTTGTTTTGTTGATTTTACAGCCGATCACGATGACTTTACCTTTGTTACGTCCCTCAGTGATCCTCATCTACAATGACTCCGAAATTGACCGCTCCCGGTTAAAGAATCACATGGACAGCTATGGACTCAGCACGTGTCTCGTAGAAGTACATCGGTGTCCAGCTTGTTTGACCGCTTTTTCTCGAAACACTTGCCGTTTTGATTATTCTAATGTGGTCATTTCAACAACGCCTTCACCTGTTGTGGTAGGTTGTCTTCTACGTTCAACGCGTATACAGTTTACAATCGAACTTCCTTATTTCAAAGTTGGCGGGACCGTTGGAAAACTTCGAGTTATCAGAGTATTCAATTAAAGTGAAATCGAATGTTCGGTGAAACGTTGGACCGGTACGGACGAAATAATTCGAATAAAAAGGTTCTTGGAGTTATACCAGTTCGAAATAACGATGTTCTTCATTTGTAGTAAAACAGTAAGAGGGAAATTGATATTCACAAAATTTCTGTATTTTATTTAACTTTTAAAGAGGGGGATCGTTGAAATGTTTATTCTTGTTTTAAGAAAACATAATTCATTTTCATTATCATCGTTATTGATTGGATCATATTTTTAAATATCAAAATAAAGATGTTCATACGGCTTTAAGCTATCCGAACGTAATGACAAAACTGATCATGTCCTGTCGTACGTGTTCTAGACCACTCAAGATCAACCCCATGTAGTTCCTGTAGTAGAGGACGACTACCGCATCGGTCCGGTGGCTGCAACAACGATGGCTGTAGGAGGGATCTTTGTGTTGGCACTCCTAATGTGGGCGGTACAGTCGTGTACGTATCACATATGTTTGAACATACAGTAATGATAACAAAGAGAAGATAAATAAAATCATTTATATTAACATTAACTTTCATTAAATATGTGGATGATGAAAGGAGTCTAAATATATATCATCTTCAATTTCATCGAGCCCTTGGCCAATCTGTAATTTGTCATCACGGTATTTCATATTGATAATTACAAATATGGAAAGTATGTGTTGTATCGGCTATAGTAGGGATATCCGTGGTTATTACACTGTAGTATACTGGTTTCTGGGACACGTTTACCCTTGGTAAATGGTTTACATGTCTTTGACATTATTTAAAAGCTGCCGTCACCCGTATACATGTATACAATCATTTGGTCCTTGTCTGTCTTTCTACCTGACACTGTCTACCATTGCGTCTGGTACACACATCTGGTCTGGAACTAATTGCTCTTGAGCTTATTTAAGTGATACACATAAAGAATCAAGACTTTCTCACCACCTTCTTTCTACTTCCAGTACATAAAGCCATGAAGGAGAAGGAGAACAAGTCGGAATCAAAACCTGATTCACAAACAGGAAGAGGAATTGAAGAATTACCAGTGGATTACTGACAATATTATACTTGATAACATTTAATTATTAAAGCATCTTCTATTATAACCATTTTCGTAGTTTCTACATCAAGGAATGATCTACAAATCACTAAATGAAACGGAGTCTGATACTGGTAAAACCGTTAGTAATATTACGTATAATTGTGAAACGGAAGACAAGACTAGAAACTAACCCCTGTGACCCTATAAAAATCCATCCAATCAAGAGATGTTTAAGATGAAGGGTCAAGTAACCGGTTTCTACAAGAAAGAACCTTATAAGTCGAGATAAAAAAAAACCACAGAGATTATCATCATGGGGTAGAAATTGTTTAATAATAAATAACATTTATAAATAAAACATAAACTTCCATAATCACGTGACAGACAAGCTTCAGCAGCTGTTCCAGTGTCATAGCAACACCTTTATCAACAGTTACGTCATAATGTCGTCAGCAATAAGGAATATATGTATATACTACAAGTAAGAGTAAATGCATTTAAACTCTCGCCATCTTCATTATTGATTTCACTCTTTGCTCAACACATTTATTTGCACCTTAATTTTTTTCTAGTATTGAATTGAATCATAGAACAAAACATATTAATCTATGATGTTTGTGGTATTTAAATGACGATCTTGAAGTTTGCTGACTGAAGATAATACAGACTTTCAGGTTCTTAATCAAACTCTGCATCAAACCTATAATTTGACACTAACTTCACTTGATATTGCTACATCATTTTTCAATGCATGATGTTATTCCACGGTCGATTTTGTTTCCGTTGAGTAGATTTAGAACTACTGTGAGTGTGATAGATTTCCCGTGTCTTGAGCAATGGAACCATTGAACTGTCTGCCGTTGTCACAGTACTTGACTACGTCTGGACCTGGACTCGGCTTTTCTCCTGAAAAAGAAGAGCACGACACATTAGAGAGTTCTGTTCACTAACAACTTATTAATACTGATTTGAACTAGCGAAATATTTGACAACATTTGTGTTGTTTAGTTGCTGTTGTACACACCTGTAACGGTATCATGTTCTACTTTCCGCTCCCTGAAATCCTGTACTGGTGGTTTAGATTTTGTCATCTCCCCCAAACCTGAAGACCTGTTGACCACACGACCAACTTTGTTGGCCACATAGCGGCAGGCTGAAAAATAATATCGAAAACTTTACGATACTGTTGGAAGGGGGACAACTCTAATAAAAACAAACGATTATGAAACAGTCGATGCGATGAACCAACACATTTCTATCTAATGCTGTTTAATACCGTGCATATTGTATGATGTTCTCATCAGTACAGACGATCAACAGAAGAAAGGGTGTCTGTTTGATAAATTACAACTGTTTACTGCTTGTAAACTTACAACGATATTTAGTTACTATGATGTAAGTCGTGGCCAAGCATTCGGACCACGGTGCCAAGCGTACGGACCACGGTCCTGTTCCTCCCATGCTTGTGATAGAGGATCATGGTAGATAAATAATATAGTAATGTTTACTCACCATCAATTATTAATCAGACCATTCCGTCAAATAGTGTAAAACCTGTGAATACTAAAAACCAACAGTGCTGGCAGTTGTGACCTCTCTCTTCTCACGCTCTAACAAATGTTCCGAAAGCTTATTTGGATGTCATCGGGATTTTCCCTTTGAACACGTATATACAATGTAGTATTACACGCTCGTATTGTTTACACTCGGGTGAGAAACTTCTGATTTCCAGATGTGTTTTGTGTTCTATGGAGGACTCGAATAGTTTGATCCATTGAGTATATATAGGTAAGAGTATTGTAGAAAGTCTTTATCAGCTTGTTTTATGTAGATAGTTGTAGCAGTTGATCGTAAAGCACAATATTTCAAACTTTGACCCGCTGATAACAATACACAGTAGGCCTAAATGCTACATGTACAACCACCGGGTACATATACATGTATGTACGTACTAGAATTTGACCCAAGTATAGAACATAGCAAATTCGGATTGCAATATATATTTTCTGAACGGTAAATAGACTTAACGTACACATTGCTAATTCAGTAAGACGTTTTTAATTTATTTACATTATATTATTCTCATGGGGAAATCAAAGGGAATATATTAAGTATATATTGTATTATGTAGTCAGACCATGCTTTATCCTTCCTGATGAGGGTTGATGGGATAGTACTGTAAACTTAGCAGTACTATAGATAAGTGTATATGTAATAAAGATGGCAATAAAAAAAGTGTATATGTAATAAGGATGGCAGTAAATAAGTGTATATGTAATAAGGATGGCAGTAACTAAGTGTATATGTAATAAGGATGGCAACAAATAAGTGTATATGTAATAAGGATGGCAACAAATAAGTGTATATGTAATAAGGATGGCAGTAACTAAGTGTATATGTAATAAGGATGGCAGTAAATAAGTGTATATGTAATAAGGATGGCAGTAAATAAGTGTATATGTAATAAGGATGGCAGTAAATAAGTGTATATGTCATAAGGATGGCAATAAAGAAGTGTATATGTAATAAGGATGGCAGTAAATAAGTATATGTAATAAGGATGGCAGTAAATAAGTGTATATGTAATAAGGATGGCAGTAAATAAGTGTATATGTAATAAGGATGGCAGTAACTAAGTGTATATGTAATAAGGATGGCAGTAAATAAGTGTATATGTAATAAGGATGGCAACAAATAAGTGTATATGTAATAAGGATGGCAGTAAATAAGTGTATATGTAATAAGGATGGCAGTAAATAAGTGTATATGTAATAAGGATGGCAATAATATCGCAATATTTGGTAAATTTAAACAATGCTTTATTTAATAATCAACAATATAATACAAAAATGTAATATGTATTGGATAACAAGCTAATGTTAATTCCTTTCGCCATATTTATTTGGTGACCGTATATTGCAATATAAGTTTCAGTATCGCAGTCGGTTACAGGAAATTTCTACAACCTTTTTGAGGGATTGACCCACAGACTTTTGGATGATTTTATAGGGAACTTTTCAAGCTAAAATTTTACTAGTTAAATATATAACTTCAGAATTATGTATTTTTCAGGTCACTGCTTCATTGAAATAAGATAGTGCTCTCTTATGTACGTGTTTGTTATACAAAAGTTCATTTCAATATACTGAAGTGCATACATCAAAATACCGCTTTGAATTTCGCGATATGTTGCAATACTAAAACTATTAACAATACCCACTCTTTGTGTGTAACACTGCATGCATGGGAGTCCGTCAGTTTTTTCGTTTCTACACGTGTTGATGCACGTGTTACTGGCATTTAGTCACACTGTTGGATTCAATGATATACATAAGTTAAGTGGGTTTGACGGTATTACACACTAAACAGTTATGTACAGTATTCTTACACAGCATACTGTAATGGTACTACGCTACGTACCTGACCAAAACACATTATCTTACCAGGATGGGAGGAGGAAATATTGTGGATATTAGTCGTAAACTAACATAAATCTTAATATAAAATTGTACATGTATAGTATATCTTAAGTATGATACAAGATAATACTTCGTTACTCTGTATCACATACATATGCATGTATATGTAGTATGCACGTGAAAACCGTTGTTGAAATACCTACCGATACATATATGTATGTGTAAATAGTTATCTTGACATACTTCTGATGTTTACAAGTGACCTAAGTGTAAACCACTTGTGGCGTGAAGTCGATAGTAAATAGAAAACTTACATCTACATTTTAGTTGTAGAAAAATTAGGGACGATTTTATATGTAGCAGAAGAACGGAAATCGTCTTATCTATTTGTAGTGTAGATTTAGTAGTGGTGTTGATTTGAAAAAAAATACTTCCTGATAAAAATGACTTTCTTATTTACAAATTGTAATGTCCAATAAGATATTTAACGATTTCTGCAAGGTTAGATATTAAGTGACATAAATAGCTAAATTACATACAGGTTCCAACGTAGGACTATGATTCGCACAGTTATACAATCTATTTTATGCAAAAAGATGTGAGGAAATGACAGAATAGCAAAGGAAGTGCCACGGAACGTAAAACTTCCGTGATGTGAAATTTTTTTTCAATCTTTTTTTATCCTTTTTGCCATAATAAAGGCTGTTCGATATCTTTGGTGTTGTAAACCTGACGATCAGTAGCTACACTTACGGTCTCTTTTTGATCAATTTTACCAACTGATACAAATAATCTCTGCCTAAAATCAAGTAAAAGTTCAGGAAGATTTGTATATCAATATATGCTGTATATATCAATTTGAATTGCCTGTTCCGTGGCTTCACTGAGGTGATTTGTACTTCATTTGAAATGATTTTATAGCGATTTACTACAAACCCACTGGGCAAGGAAGAGTAGTGCCAACCTTATACGTCAGCTGTCAAATTTCCTGTAAATTTCGACCCGATATAGCGTTACCTAAATCGAGTGTGTATGGTTGAAGTTGAATACTTCTGGAAGATCGTTTTTATATGGGAGTTTCTATAGGCCCACCAAGGCACCAGTTTCTTCCTGGGTCACCCATTTCATAGATCTTGCTTTTAACAATGAAATATGTATTATATCTGCTGACTTAAATGTAAATATATTTAACGATAATTTGCTATGCCTACATAATTTAATTATCTAGTTTTAATCTTCCTTAAAGTGTTGTCAGTCCTACTTTCTACACTGAATGGTCTTTATTCCTCTTACATATAGTCTGCGCGAGTGATCCATCTTTATTTGACTTGTTTCAGTCGTGTATTTGTGTAACGTAAGTATGTACATTGTAAAGTCAGAATGCTGACGACTGGTCGAAATTCATGAAAGTCCGAAATACGTGTAGAAATGCCACTAGTAAATCTAAACTTAATCACTTTAACAAACTAAGTGTAAAGCTTAATTTTACTGACACGAATGGCGGGATCTATTTAACAAGTTAAATGGCAATTTCAGTCTTTTATCTTGTCAGTTAGATTTTAGATCTGGCGATTACACTATAAATCAAATTCTATCTAACTCTAATGATATATTTTCCGCATTAGATAATTGCCTTCTGTGATATAAGTACGACATATGACCGAATATGGTCTTCTTACTGGTAATTGATTTGATTGGTTCTCGAGCTATTTATCAATGTCACCACGTCATCGATGGTAAACAATCAAACTTGACCTATACTTCTGCTAGAGTTCCGCCAAGGTCAATTCTAGGACAATTATTGTTTCGTATTTTTATAAATGATATCGTCGGAGTTATTAGTTGTATTATAAAGTCTATATACCTTATATCGGATTTGCTGGACCTGAACGCCGATCTTTTGAATGATAATATAATACAATTCAGGAATAGTTTTAAAAAATGGCTTGTCGGTTTCAATCCCAGGAAGACAGTTTCAACATTACAGTAAGTAGAAAAAATGCCAAACCACTCCATTCCGCTTTGTCTATGAACAACATCTCACACAGGGAGGTATCGCCAACACCTGTCGTCATTTCGTCTCATAGACAGGCAGCCATCTTGGATTTCGCCTAGTAAAGTTTTTTATCCCTATTTCTTAAGAAGTATGAATGTGTCTCTCTCAAATTTCATGTGTAGGTTTCACACACAGCTCATAACTTCAAGAAAAGTGGTAGATAATCGCCAGCGTCGATGTGTAGGAAATATAGTTCTTTTGATATTTTTTTCTTTATTCATTGAAGATGAAAATACTCCAACCTTTTCTTTGAGGTTGTCAACATTTCATTTACCATATTTGGACATGTATCGTAACCCGAAGTATTATTGAATCTGTTTAGATAGTATTGGTTGAATTGGCGATTGAATAAATGTTTACATGTATGTGATATCATGTATATTTAATTACTACAATTTTGACAAGTATCAGCTTTGATTCCAGTCATTTGAGATGTCTGCCAACGGGAAGGTAAAGAAACCTGGACTAGCAGGTTCCAGCGGGGATGGAGAACCGGACTTAGCTGTGTTTGAAAGTCAGCTGATCACACTTCAGGAACAGCTGGTAGCAGTGATGATTGAAAATCAGGAATTACGTGAGTATTGGACACAATGTTTTGTGATAAATGACAACTTTTAATACTAGGGTTTTGTGTGCGGTAGAAGAGTCCGGCCTTTAACATAAATTACATTTGCCTTTATTATCATATATTGTAATATTCGAATAAGTTTTGCCATCATTTTTATATTCAGCGTTTGGATTGGTTTTTTTTTTTTTTTTTTTTTGTGTTTTTGTATATGTTTGGTGTACTTTCTTTCTCTTTTTCATTAAAAACACAAAATACCCGGATGATAGATATATTTCTTTTGAGATTCAGTCGAACCCAACACTTTACGTATAAGTGGTCCTCAATGATGTACCCACGTGTGAATTCCAAAGTATGCAATACCTTGTCCCTGAATAAAATGTATCCGATACATTGCTAGAATGGTCTGCAATGGTACTGTGTTACATCTGATTTCAGGTTCCAAACTACCTGATATATTGTCGGTGAATGATCGGGGATTGTATGATAATGTACATACATGTCTTGTATGAATTTCAGAATCCAAACTACGGGAATATGATGACACAACGTCAATGCAGAAGCTTCGACTAGAGATCGACATTGAAAGGAAGCGTTATAGAGAATTGGAGAACAGATACTCTTCCCTCGTGACGAAATCAGCCAGGTAATAGTATAATTAAAGAGCAGAGTGTCTTAATGATGTTAACTTCGCCAATATGTTCTCTCCTCTTGTGAAACATTCGATTAACTCTGATTGTAGAGAATGAAATTGTTCCTTGTTTGGTCGAAAACAAGATGGTTACTATGGCATTGAGTTGAAAGTTCAAGACAACACTACGTTACTTACCATTGCTATGCAAATTATTTTATCAATGTAATGGAATCGTGATGTAAATCAATAATACACTGATGGTCAGGAATCGTGATGTAAATCAATAATACACTGATGGTCAGGAATCGTGATGTAAATCAATAATACACTGATGATCAGGAATCGTGATGTAAATCAATAATACACTGATGATCAGGAATCGTGATGTAAATCAATAATACACTGATGATCAGGAATCGTGATGTAAATCAATAATACACTGATGATCAGGAATCGTGATGTAAATCAATAATACACTGATGATCAGGAATCGTGATGTAAATCAATAATACACTGATGGTCAGGAATCGTGATGTAAATCAATAATACACTGATGATCAGGAATCGTGATGTAAATCAATAATACACTGATATCAGGAATCGTGATGATACACTGATGATGATCAGGAATCGTGATGTAAATCAATAATACACTGATGATCAGGAATCGTGATGTGATGTAGGAATCGATGTAAATCAATAATACACTGATGGTCAGGAATCGTGATGTAAATCAATAATACACTGAATATCGTGATGTAAATCACTGATGATCAGGAATCGTGATGTAAATCAATAATACACTGATGATCAGGAATCGTGATGTAAATCAATAATACACTGATGAACAGGAATCGTGATGTAAATCAATAATACACTGATGGTCAGGAATCGTGATGTAAATCAATAATGATCAGGAATCGTGATGTAAATCAAAATACACTGATGATCAGGAATCGTGATGTAAATCAATAATACACTGATGATCAGGAATCGTGATGTAAATCAATAATACACTGATGATCAGGAATCGTGATGTAAATCAATAATACACTGATGATCAGGAATCGTGATGTAAATCAATAATACACTCGTGATGTAAATCAATAATACACTGATGATCAGGAATCGTGATGTAAATCAATAATACACTGATGATCAGGAATCGTGATGTAAATCAATAATACACTGATGGTCAATCGTGATGTAAATCAATAATACACTGATGATCAGGAATCGTGATGTAAATCAATAATACACTGATGATGAATCGTGATGTAAATCAATAATACACTGAATCGTGATGTAAATCAATAATACACTGATGATCAGGAATCGTGATGTAAATCAATAATACACTCAGGATCGTGATGTAAATCAATAATACACTGAATCAGGAATCGTGATGTAAATCAATAATACACTGATGGTCAGGAATCGTGATGTAAATCAATAATACACTGATGATCAGGAATCGTGATGTGGAATCGTGATGTAAATCAATAATACACTGATGGTCAGGAATCGTGATGTAAATCAATAATACACTGATGGTCAGGAATCGTGATGTAAATCAATAATACACTGATGATCAGGAATCGTGATGTAAATCAATAATACACTGATGGTCAGGAATCGTGATGTAAATCAATAATACACTGATGATCAGGAATCGTGATGTAAATCAATAATACACTGATGATCAGGAATCGTGATGTAAATCAATAATACACTGATATCAGGAATCGTGATGATGATCAGGAATCGTGATGTAAATCAATAATACACTGATGGTCAGGAATCGTGATGTAAATCAATAATACACTGATGATGTAAATCAATAATACACTCAGGAATCGTGATGTAAATCAATAATACACTGATGATCATCGTGGAATACACGTGATGTAAATCAATAATACACTGATGATCAGGAATCGTGATGTAAATCGTGATGTAAATCAATAATACACTGATGGTCAGGAATCGTGATGTAAATCAATAATACACTGATGGTCAGGAATCGTGATGTAAATCAATAATACACTGATGATCAGGAATCGTGATGTAAATCAATAATACACTGATGGTCAGTGATGGTCAGGAATCGTGATGTAAATCAATAATACACTGATGGTCAGGAATCGTGATGTAAATCAATAATACACTGATGTAAATCAATAATACACTGATGGTCAGGAATCGTGATGTAAATCAATAATACACTGATGATCAGGAATCGTGATGTAAATCAATAATACACTGATGGTCAGGAATCGTGATGTAAATCAATAATACACTGATGGTCAGGAATCGTGATGTAAATCAATAATACATACGTGATGTAAATCAATAATACACTGATGATCAGGAATCGTGATGTAAATCAATAATACACTGATGATCAGGAATCGTGATGTAAATCAATAATACACTGATGGTCAGGAATCGTGATGTAAATCAATAATACACTGATGGTCAGGAATCGTGATGTAAATCAATAATACACTGATGGTCAGGAATCGTGATGTAAATCAATAATACACTGATGGTCAGGAATCGTGATGTAAATCAATAATACACTGATGATCAGGAATCGTGATGTAAATCAATAATACATCAGGAATCGTGATACACTGATGGTCAGGAATCGTGATGTAAATCAATAATACACTGATGGTCAGGAATCGTGATGTAAATCACTAATACAGTGATGGTCAGGAATCGTGATGTGATGTAAATCAATAATACACTGACAGGAATCGTGATGATCAGGAATCGTGATGTTCAGGAATCGTGATGTAAATCAATAATACACTGATGGTCAGGAATCGTAATGTAAATCAATAATACACTGATGATCAGGAATCGTGATGTAAATCAATAATACACTGATGATCAGGAATCGTGATGTAAATCAATAATACACTGATGATCAGGAATCGTGATGTAAATCAATAATACACTGATGATCAGGAATCGTGATGTAAATCAATAATAAACTGATGATCAGGAATCGTGATGTAAATCAATAATACACTGATGGAAATCAATAATCACTGGAATCGTGATGTAAATCAATAATACACTGAATCAGGAATCGTGATGTAAATCAATAATACGTGATGTAAATCAATAATACACTGATCAGGAATCGTGATGTAAATCAATAATACACTGATGGTCACGTGATGTAAATCAATAATACATCAGGAATCGTGATGTAAATCAATAATACACTGATGGTCAGGAATCGTGATGTAAATCAATAATTCACTGGAATCGTGATGTAAATCAATAATACACTGATGGTCAGGAATCGTGATGTAAATCAATAATACACTGATGGTCAGGAATCGTGATGTAAATCAATAATACACTGATGATCAGGAATCGTGATGTAAATCAATAATACACTGATGGTCAGGAATCGTGATGTAAATCAATAATACACTGATGATCAGGAATCGTGATGTAAATCAATAATACACTGATGGTCAGGAAAATCAATAATACACTGATGGTCAGGTGATGTAAATCAATAATACACTGATGATCAGGAATCGTGATGTAAATCAATAATACACTGATGGTCAGGAATCGTGATGTAAATCAATAATACACTGGAATCGTGATGTAAATCAATAATACACTGATGATCAGGAATCGTGATGTAAATCAATAATACACTGATGGTCAGGAATTGTGATGTAAATCAATAATACACTGGAATCGTGATGTAAATCAATAATACACTGATGGTCAGGAATCGTGATGTAAATCAATAATACACTGATGGTCAGGAATCGTGATGTAAATCAATAATACACTGATGGTCAGGAATCGTGATGTAAATCAATAATACACTGATGGTCAGGAATCGTGATGTAAATCAATAATACACTGATGATCAGGAATCGTGATGTAAATCAATAATACACTGATGATCAGGAATCGTGATGTAAATCAATAATACACTGATGGTCAGGAATCGTGATGTAAATCAATAATACACTGATGGTCAGGAATCGTGATGTAAATCAATAATACACTAGTGATCAGGAATCGTGATGTAAATCAATAATACACTGATGATCAGGAATCGTGATGTAAATCAATAATACACTGATGATCAGGAATCGTGATGTAAATCAATAATACACTGATGATCAGGAATCGTGATGTAAATTAATCTGATAATACACTGATGATCATGAATCGTGATGTAAATTAATCTGATAATACACTGATGATCATGAATCTGTATTGGTCACGTGTCTACTATTACAGCCGTTATGTCTATAAATCAATTTGGACTAATTCCGAGTTTTAGCTGTCGCTATGTTTCAACAAGTTAGGTCGCCTTGACGCTGTTCTAAAATAATATCATATATGAAAACTTAATTTTGGAGCTTGTTTACCTTCTCGTCTACATATTGACATTTCTGTCGATCTCTTTTCATTTATTTTCTTTATTTTATTCACAATTTGTAATAAATTTTGCTTTTCGCCTGACAATGTACAATATCAAATGACTATTCATGGGTTTCATGTTTTGAATGTTATTTCTTGAATCATATTGAAGTCATTTCCGTAACCTGTTGCTTGCATGCTTTTAAGTTGAAGTTGGATTTATCTCCCCTGTGTGTCACATTAGAAGAAATCGGTGATCGTAATGTGTATTTATATATATCTTTTAAACTTCCTTTCGGACTTTCACTTCAGAGACCACCAGATATATCGGCAACGTACCGGAAGTGGAACTGAAAACATTTCTAGACCGGCACTAGAAATAGCCGAAGATGCGTCAAAAGTCGCAGAAAAAGAAGAAATCGGTAACTTGTGTATTATTCCTCCTCCTGGTACGAATGGTAAGGACAGTACTTCATATATCGTACTGTATATACTATATGTTGTGTGTGTTTTATTATTACACTTCTCAGTGGAATATATCTCGTCCTGTCGCCTGTTGAGAACAAGTTTACACGGCGGACGTCGTCGATGAAACAGAATATGCCTACTCTTCCTGAACACCTGGTCCTTGTTCATTTTTAGAATACCAATACATTAAACAGAAAGCTGGAAACATTTGAAATGCAGAAGGAAAATAAGACAGGGTGTTCTGAAGGATAAGCGTCCTTTGCTACACAGACGACATCCTATATGAAAATACTATAAATGCTAGCAAGGCTCTATTTTTCACGCTTTTGTGATTTAGAAAACTTTAATCAGCGAAGGCAAAAGTTCCTGCCTGGTGCCGTGGACAGGATGTGGACTCGGTTGGTACGATTTAGTTATGAGACAATGGATGACTTCACAGAGGACATGCCAGGAGGCAAGGAGGAAGAACAATCAGATGGAGACCCCCTCACTGTGAAAACGTAAGTAGTCTACGTGAATACAGAAGAACTGGTTTATGGACTTCAGGAGAGCACGGCATGATATAGGATAATCATTTAAGTTACCGTTAATACAGATTTACATGTACCTGGAAATATTGTGTGGGATCAATCAAGAGACAGGGGGATAACTATATGTCTAATGTAACAATATCGATAGGAGTTGAGAGACAATAAAGCAGTATGATGCAGTTTAATGAGACTAAATTGTCACATTGTTTACCATGCATTGGATTTAGCTTTGTAATACTTAAATTTAGACCGTTCATAAAATTGTGATACTTTTTGAGAAAAATAATGAAGATTGTCGGCATCAAAATGACACTGGTCGACAATCGCTGTTGCGTTTACCGTCATTCGCTGTTTAGATCGGAGATAACTGGAGTTAACCTCGTTTTAACCCACCGTTTTGTTAGAATTTCTCATTTTCCCGCGTCACGCATGCGCAAACACATTGTTTACGCTTTCCAAACGATATTGATATAAATTAATGTTTTGTCGCCCCTATTTTGTTTGGATTTTTTGAAGATTTTAATAAAATGGTTATGCAAACTTTTAACTGTTATAATTAACAGAAAATGTACAACTTTTAAAAGATATGTAGATATTAAAATACTTTTTATCAGTTACGCAATGAAAATTTACCATTGACAACCTGTCATTCACTATTTAGCTGTACTCTATCTATGAAACTCTAAAATTGTATTGAAAGGTACTAGTCACATGTTTCTGCAATAATCTTTGACATTACGCATGTTAGAGACATTGCCAGCCGAGTTTAGTACCTCATATTTGTCGTAAACTGTCATGTTTTAATTCATTCATATAAAGGCATTGTTCAAAATCAAGTACTTAACTGTCTTCTCCAATGATCAGGTATATAGATTCCCTATTTAGATTTTACCTTTTATTTCGATCTAATTTGATATATCAATTAACCTGTCAGTACTTTTTCATGTAACAGTTAGCCCTATATTCTTTTTCGTGTACGATACCGAATAATCAATGAAAGCGGAGATTAATCGGAAACTTAAAACAGATACTTGTCGACAGAAATATACTCTCCTTGTACTTGTTTTACACGTTTTTTTTAATTTACAGTTTGAAAGAAAACATCAACAGATTTGGTATGTAGTTGTGATCATTGTTTTCCTGGTTTAATTGTTATCTGATACATTCATCACATGTGTTAAGTTTAAAGCAATATGGCTTGAGAATGATATTATACTTTTGTGATGCGTGGTTTAATTATTGATGTACCGCAGTTCATTAAAAACTACAAAATTACTTCATTGTGCTGTGAATAAAATATTACACTTTGTTAAAGTGTTAAATCATTGGAAAAGAAACATATACACAATTTGAATTTAAATTAACAATATTTCTAGGTTAAGGTGATAGTATACCAGTTCTATATTTAGAACGCTCTATCATGCAGATAAACATATTGTTCAGTCTACTGTTTATAACTCTAAATTTGTATCAACAAGTGTTATTATACATTTGTGTGTCTTTTATACCACTAATCTAAGGTATCGCACTGAAGCCTTACATAAGTACTGTAAAAGGCGTGAACAACTTGTTGACGTGGAAGTCGCCATCTTACACAGTACTCGTATTTCTGGTAAGTCAAAGTCTCACACAGTACTCTTATTCCTAGTAAATTACCATCTCACACAGTACTCGTATTCCAAGTTAACTACCATCTCACACAGTACTTGTATTCCTAGTAAACTACCATCTCACACAGTACTCGTGGTCCTAGTAAACTACCATCTCACACAGTACTCGTGGTCCTAGTAAACTACCATCTCACACAGTACTCGTGTTCCTAGTAAATTACCATCTCACACAGTACTCGTATTCCTAGTAAATTACCATCTCACACAGTACTCGTATTCCTAGTAAACTACCATCTCACACAGTAATTCCTAGTAAATTACCATCTCACACAGTACTCGTATTCCTAGTAAATTACCATCTCACACAGTACTCGTGGTCCTAGTAAACTACCATCTCACACAGTACTCGTATTCCTAGTAAACTACCATCTCACACAGTACTCGTATTCCTAGTAAACTACCATCTCACACAGTACTCGTGGTCCTAGTAAATTACCATCTCACACAGTACTCGTATTCCTAGTAAACTACCATCTCACACAGTACTCGTATTCCAAGTAAACTACCATCTCACACAGTACTCGTATTCCTAGTAAACTATCATCTCACACAGTACTCGTATTCCAAGTAAACTACCATCTCACACAGTACTCGTATTCCTAGTAAACTACCATCTCACACAGTACTCGTATTCCAAGTAAACTACCATCTCACACAGTACTCGTATTCCAAGTAAACTACCATCTCACACAGTACTCGTATTCCAAGTAAACTACCATCTCACACAGTACTCGTATTCCTAGTAAACTACCATCTCACACAGTACTCGTATTCCAAGTAAACTACCATCTCACACAGTACTCGTATTCCTAGTAAACTACCATCTCACACAGTACTCGTATTCCAAGTAAACTACCATCTCACACAGTACTCGTATTCCTAGTAAACTACCATCTCACACAGTACTCGTATTCCAAGTAAACTACCATCTCACACAGTACTCGTGTTCCTAGTAAATTAACATCTCACACAGTACTCGTATTCCTAGTAAATTACCATCTCACACAGTACTCGTATTCCAAGTAAACTACCATCTCACACAGTACTCGTATTCCAAGTAAACTACCATCTCACACAGTACTCGTATTCCTAGTAAACTACCATCTCACACAGTACTCGTATTCCAAGTAAACTACCATCTCACACAGTACTCGTATTCCTAGTAAACTACCATACTCTACACAGTACCTCTACTACTGGTGGGTCACTAATTACACAGTGTGTGTGTTGGGGGGTGTGGTGTTTGTGTAGGTGTGGAGTGTGTGTGTGGGTTTGTGGGTGTGTGAGTGTGGGTGTGTATGTGAGGGTGTTTGCGAAGAATATTTTTGTATACATCAATGCTATGTATGTGTTGTAGATATATATGTACACCGTTTGGAAAGGCTGGTTTCTCCCTGTTGTCGTCATCATGCTCCTTGCCAGACTTTTCATCACATATCTACAGCATCAGTAAGTTTTTTATTATTTTTAGACAATAATAATAATGATTTCTGACAACAAAGGTTTGATCCTTGCAATTATCTTACTTTGTGGTAAACAATCATATTCCTTAGATACTGTAATAGTTACACATTGCATATAAAGTTATCACAACATAATATACATATACAACATTGTAGTATTCACATATCATTTTCGTGTATCACAACATTATATATATATCATTTGCGTGTAACGAAATAGTTATGCAAGATCCTTGTGATTTTTCCAGTGGCTTCAAAATAGAGTTTACTTACTTTGATCCCGGCACAGAATCTGAAAAGGTAGGTCGCAATCAAATTTAATGAACAATCGCAGAAATAATTAACGACCGGAAAGATTTGAATTGCATCATATCCTCATCCGAAATTATTGTTACGAACTCAAACTCAGATGCATATAAAGAAAGCGTATTTATGATAGACGTTGTTGATAGAATATCACCTTTTTCAGTTTTAAATACTGCATGGATTTAAACCTTCTTTACAGCCTGAAGAGAGTTTGGGGATATCGGACAAGTTTAATCTAGTGTTACAAGTAGCGAGGAAAGTTCAGGTGAGAAAATATTTACAACACAAACAACACTATCGTCGTTTGTTGTTAGCGATATTTTTGAGTGAAAACTTTCCCTCAAGGTAGAATGTTGGTATTAACGGAAACAAGAAAGAAAGAATTGACATGCACAATTATGACGAATACACTAATTTTGTTTAAGTATAAGCCCTGACGAATACGCGATTTCCTACTTAATTGATATATTTGACCAGATTTTATGGTTTTGTCCTAATGCATTGTTGATAATGTAAGTTTTAAGCAATGTAGGTACTTAAATAGTTTTTGACAATTTTATTACGTAATGTAGCATTGCATTGGCTACGTAACGTCATCGGTTGTGACACAGTTTCTCAAAACAACAATACAATGTACGTGACAGTTTCAATTTGAATACACCTGTTAGCACTGGATGATGTCTCGTGATTCAATTTTAATTGCTGACTACTTCCTATTTTTGACATTCTTCAGTTATCAATAAAAGAAGTATTTTCAAATTTGAAAAGCAAACATTTAGCCATACTGTCTATATGAAGTAAATGTGAACAACGCTTTGCCTACTTAACACAATAAAACCTGAAAACCACATTTTGGAAGATTCACTCTCTGTTCTAGAATGGTCTTAAAGGCGCTGCTGATAGCCTTGAAAAAATCAAAAGGTGAGTCTTTGAAGCGTTATTCAGGGATGTCCTAATTAACGCACATCAGCAATGTTTTGTTTGGTTAACACATTGATAAGTAGAGTTATGAAGGTTGGTAACGACAAGTTTGAAGCTAAGGTGTATCTAGAACTCGAAGCATTGGGTACATATATATACAAATATAGCATGTCAATTTATTTCTGTCCTGTAGCTATTGCCCTCATATTTAGACTTTTTAATTAGAATTGTTTAAGATAAATATTCCATAGAGTAATACGATGTTTACCAATAAACTTGTTAAAGTAAATGGTAGGTAACATATTGTTACTGGAGAAAAAAGGTCAATTTCTTAAATCCTAATTTATAATTGGTTAAGTTTATATTTCTTGACGTCTTATTAACAGCCAGGGTTATTTGAGGACGTGCTCGGTTTGGTTGGTTGAGGAAAGCCAAACTTCCTGGAGAAAACTCTCCAACCTGCCTAATCAATAATCTATATTACACCATAACAATGTATTTAAGATGTCTTGTTTGCTCTACAGCTATATAGCTCTTAGCTATCCAATGTACTGTATGTGTGTATGTACAAAACATTATATTTATATTAATATAGAGAGTATTTCCATTTGTGTAATCTTCAACAGTTTATTGACTTGGCGACACCAAGCCACACGACAATTGTTCTTTGGACTGACGTTTGTCTTCATCATGTCTTGTTTCGTGCCGTCAATGCATCTGTTAAGATTAGGAGGTAGGTATTCATACCCTGTTATATGTTTCTTGCTGGTCTTTTTATTCGAAATGTCCAACACCACATTATCTGTTTGTCGCTGTGATAAGTTTATCAAAAGTCATTTGCTTGACAAGTAACACTTCAATGGAGACACTGTTCCTTGCTACATGTATTTATTACGCTATTTCTTTATTGGTGTGTGTTTCATACTATCACAAATATAATGACTTCGGCGAAGGAGCGACGTTGACCGTGGATACTGGTAAAAGGAAGACCATGAGAAATATGGTTATATGATAGGGATTGTGATATCGAGAGGATTAGGTCTGTACTTGCAGATGATGTGCTACTGTTTTAGAGATCGAAGACAAGCGTGTATAGGACATATTGAATAATGTATCAACAAAATTAGCTACGTACAGTGAATTGTTACGCTTTGATATACGACCTTGAATCTGATACACTCACGCGGGAACTTTTCCCAAGTCACTACGCTTTGTATATATAAATATGTGGGTGAAGTTAGACGTTTTTTTAAACTGTACAGAAAACACACAAGATAATTACACACATTAACTTATAAATTTAGATTAAGTCATAGTATAGCCAAATCAGAATTCGCTGATTGGTGTTAGGACCTAACGAAATCCTGTAGGCGTAAACGTCTGGGGTTGGTGTCCCGGGATGAAGTTATCATTAAGTCTCTTATATCTTAGCGGTGAACATTTGCAGTTAAATTACCACTCTTCCTGTTTACTGTACGTACAGTATTAAAGTGTAGTATTTGTTGAATTATGTAGCTTATTAGAGATTTGAGTGGAGGTATTAATGACTTGTTATACGTACAGGTCTGATGTTTGGAGTGAAGGTATTTATTATCAACTACTTCTACAATAAATATCCACGACTACAGCGAAAGTATGACTCTGCCCACAAGACGTGGATGTCTCTGCCAACGGATGTGGAATATCAACAGGAATGTATGAAGACGGAGTTGAACAAAGTAAATAATTCGGGCTTTTGTAACCTCTTGATCACTCGTCACTCACGGGAAAAATATATCAAGTTAACGTTTGAAAAATAGCAGTGAAATTGAGGAAATTATGAAACGTAGAGTGCAAAGTGATAACAACGATACTGTTATTGTAAACGTAGTAACCAAAAATTATATTTTTACTTTTTATTTTTCGACAACCGTTATATCATATTTAATGTCATACCATCAGATAGATGAATGAATTGCTACGAATGGCGTTTATCTGACTCTCTTCCCAAACAACTGCCGACACCACTATCAATGGGAGATAATTTCATTTTAAAACCGACGCATAACCTGTCCAATCTGTGTAATACAATACAATGATGTATTTAATGTCTATTTAACAGTACGTGTTTGTTGAAACCAGGGAGGAGTTAGATGAATGTAGTACAGAAGTTATTTCTAACCAAGACAAACAATTCTGTGAATTGTTTTCACTCCCTCCGGCAGAGTCCCCTTTATCAGGTAAGTCTAAGTCGGCTATGGTATGTAGTATATTTATGATACAAATCTCTAGATTGTAATCACTTCCTAACAGACTGTTTTATCAGGTCCCTTAACAAGGCTGATCTGGGAGCGTTTCCGCATTCCCTTTGACCGTATCCATTCTATCTGGTCACATATGTAGTAGTAGCCTCACGCAAGTCTTCACGTCTCTCTTTTTTTTCAACAAAAGCAAAACTACCCCGACATCATCTAGTAGCCCCTTCATAACGCTTGTCTAACCAGATCTCACACCCTCCTACAGTAATCTCTGTACCATACACTGTTCAGTAGCCCCTTTATAACGCGTTTCTAAACAGATTTCACTCCCTCCTACAGTAATCTCTGTAACATACACTGTTCAGTAGCCCCTTTATAACGCGTGTCTAGTCAGATCTCACTCCTACAGTAATCTATACCATACACTGTTCAGTAGCCCCTTTATAACACGTGTCTAACCAGATCTCACACCCTCCTACAGTAATCTCTATACCATACACTGTTCAGTAGCCCCTTTATAACGCGTGTCTAAACAGATATCACACCCTCCTACAGTAATCTGTTCCATACACTGTTCAGTAGCCCCTTTATAACGCGTGTCTAAACAGATCTCACTCCCTCCTACAGTAATCTCTGTACTATACACTGTTCAGCAGCCCCTTTATAACGCGTGTATAAACAGATCCCACCCCTACAGTACTCTGTACCATACACTGTTCAGTAGCCCCTTTATAACGCGTGTCCAAACATATCTCACTCCTACAGTAATCTGTACCATACACTGTTCAGTAGCCCCTTTATAACGCGTGTCTAACCAGATCTCACTCCTACAGTAATCTCTGTACCATACACTTTTCAGTAGCCCCTTTATAACTCCTGTATAACCAGATCTCACTCCTACAGTAATCTGTACCATACACTGTTCAGTAGCTCCTTTTTAACACGTGTCTAACCAGATCTCACTCCTACAGTAATCTCTGTACCATACACTTTTCAGTAGCCCCTTTATAACTCCTGTATAACCAGATCTCACTCCTACAGTAATCTGTACCATACACTGTTCAGTAGCTCCTTTTTAACACGTGTCTAACCAGATCTCACACCCTCCGACAGTAACCTCTTTAACATGCCTTATTCAGAGGCCACTTTCTCGTATAAGTCTACGAAAGTTTCTTTTTCCCTTTAAAAAATCCTCAGACACATTTCAGTACACTTTTTTTCAAGTGAATCTCAGACGATTTCTTGTTTTTTCTCCGACAATACCCTACACTGGCTCTTTGGACAGTGATCCGTTTCTGAGTACAGTCAGACAATAGATAAATATATCTGTAATCCATAGATACTATAATAATGACTTACATGGCCATACCTGAAATGCCAAAAGGTCACAATGTCTAGAAAGACGGTAAGGTGAGTTGAAAATGGAGTAACATTAAATAATGAATTTTTAATACCCAGCCAAATGCTATCATAATATATGTTTATACAGTTCGTTTATAATTTTCTCAGGCTGGAAAGGTGGTCGACGTTGCACGCTGATAAATAAAGAAAAGGCTTTTGCAGCAGGATTCAAGAATGGCAAGATATATCTCACGAAAAGGTGATAAAGAGTTACTAAAATTTCCTTTGTCAACTTGACCACTTTTTCTTTTATCGCTTATATCTGTTACCATTAGGCCTATTCGTGTATGAGGACGTTTTACGGTCGTCATAGTATCGCATTGATCTCATTTCTTAGTACTATATGAAGCTATACATATCTGATGCTCGTTAGTTTTCCTGTTGATGACATTACTTGGATTGATCAAGTTTACATGACGACTGTCGTCGCTGAAGCATGGGACGCTTACTCTTCCGGAACACCTGGTCCAATTCTCCTGATACTTTTTCAGGAGTCCTCGTGTTAATCGTTCTTTTGTTCATAATTTACCCAAGTGTTAGTTCTCATTTCTTACTGTTACTATTACCATTAAATTATAGCCGTAATTTCTGACCGAATCTCTACAAATATATCAAGTGAATTTTGTTAAATGTTATTTGTGTACGATCTTCATATAATATTACAGAATAATATGTGATTGAAAGAACAACACTCGCCATGGCATTAGAATCTTACTGCAAAATAAGATTTCATGAAACTGGTGGATGAAATAAACAAAAGAATGAAAAATTAAATGAAGAAGAATATTAAGAATAAGAACAGAGGTTCCGGTAGTGTAAGCGTCTTATGTAGTACTGACGAAAATGTAAATGTTGGTCAATTCAAGTAAGTAATGTAACGTGATCAATTGAGAACAACGTTCACATTACCGGCATTATATAACTAGGATTTACCATGATTAACGTGTCGCTTGCTGATAAAGGAGAAGACAAAACTCCTTCCGCAACACCTGGTCTTACACTTTTTAAATGTTCCTTTATTTATAAATTTTGCTCTCGCTCCATCGATTTTAACTTTTAATTATGCTTTTGGTAACACTTCGGTGTTCTGCTTTTGATATATGGTATAGGTATATTAAACATTTTTTTATTCTCATAAAACAGTTAATGTTTACTTATTTCATCTTTTAAACTCCACCTTAAGTCTGCAGCTACAATGAGATTGATGTCGCCATGATATTGTTACATGATATCACAACGATAATGTAACAAGTCACCACGATAGTGCCACGTGATATCCCCACGATAATGTAACAAGTCACCACGATAGTGCCACGTGATATCCCCACGATAATGTAACAAGTCACCACGATAACGTGATATCACAACGATAATGTAACAAGACACCACGATAGTGCCACGTGATATCCCCACGATAATGTAACAAGTCACCACGATAGTGCCACGTGATATCCCCACGATAATGTAACAAGTCACCACGATAGTGCCACGTGATATCCCCACGATAATGTAACAAGTCACCACGATAGTGCCACGTGATATCCCCACGATAATGGAACAAGACACCACGATAGTGCCACGTGATATCCCCACGATAATGTAACAAGTCACCACGATAGTGCCACGTGATATCCCCACGATAATGTAACAAGTCACCACGATAGTGCCACGTGATATCCCCACGATAATGTAACAAGTCACCACGATAGTGCCACGTGATATCCCCATGATAATGTAACAAGTCACCACGATAGTGCCACGTGATATCCCCATGATAATGTAACAAGTTACCACGATAGTGCCACGTGATATCCCCACGATAATGTAACAAGACACCACGATAGTGCCATGTGATATCCCCACGGTAATGTAACAAGTCACCACGATAGTAACAAGTCACCACGATAGTGCCACGTGATACCACGATAGTGCCACGTGATATCCCCATGATAATGTAACAAGTTACCACTATATGTAACAAGTCACCACGATAGTGCCACGTGACATCCCCACGGTAATGTAACAAGACACCACGATAGTGCCACGTGACATCCCCACGGTAATGTAACAAGTCACCACGATAGTGCCACGTGACATCCCCACGATAATGTAACAAGTCACCACGATAGTGCCACGTGATATCCCCACGATAATGTAACAAGTCACCACGATAACGTTACCACGATACGATAGTGCCACGTGATATCCCCACGATAATGTAACAAGTCACCACGATAGTGCCACGTGATATCCCCACGGTAATGTAACAAGTCACCACGATAGTGCCACGTGACATCCCCACGGTAATGTAACAAGTCACCACGATAGTGCCACGTGACATCCCCACGGTAATGTAACAAGTCAACAAGTCACCACGATAGTGCCACGTGACATCCCCACGATAATGTAACAAGTCACCACGATAGTGCCACGTGACATCCCCACGATAATGTAACAAGTCACCACGATAGTGCCACGTGACATCCCCACGATAATGTAACAAGTCACCACGATAGTGCCACGTGACATCCCCACGATAATGTAACAAGTCACCACGATATGACATCCCCACGATAATGTAACAAGTTTGCCACGTGATATCCCCACGATAATGTAACAAGTCACCACGATAGTGCCAGTGAATTTTGACACCACGAATGTTATTTGTAACAAGTCACCACGATAGTGCCACTTCATATAATAATGTAACAAGTCAACGATAGTGCCACGTGATTCCCCACGATAATGTAACAAGTGCCATAGTGCCACGTGATATCCCCACGATAATGTAACAAACCACGAAGTTGACATCATGTAACAAACCACGATAGTGCCACGTGACAAATAATGTAACAAGTCACCACAAAAGAACGTGAAAAATTAAATGAAGAAGTGAATATCCCCACGGTAATGTAACAAGTCACCACGATAGTGCCACGTGATATCCCCACGATAATGTGTAAGCGGTAATGTAACAAGTCACCACGATAGTGCCACGTGACATTAATGTAACAAGTACTGACATCCCCACGATAAAATGAAATGTCCCCACGATAATGTAACAAGTCACCACGATAGTGCCACGTGACATCCCCACGATAATGTAACAAGTCACCACGATAGTGCCACGTGATATCCCCACGATAATGTAACAAGTCACCACGATAGTGCCACGTGATATCCCCACGGTAATGTAACAAGACACCACGATAGTGCCACGTGACATCCCCACGGTAATGTAACAAGTCACCACGATAGTGCCACGTGATATCCCCACGGTAATGTAACAAGTCACCACGATAGTGCCACGTGATATCCCCACGATAATGTAACAAGTCACCACGATAGTGCCACGTGACATCCCCACGATAATGTAACAAGTCAACGATTTTCCCCACTAATTTAATAGTATGATATCCCCACGGTAATGTAACAAGTCACCACGATAGTGCCTGCTTTTGATATATGCCACGTGATATCCCCACGATATATTACGATACATTTTTTTATCCCCATAAAACAAGACACCACGATAGTGCCACGTGACATCCCCACGGTAATGTAACAAGTCACCACGATAGTGCCATGTGATATCCCCACGGTAATGTAACAAGAAACCACGATAGTGCCACGTGATATCCCCACGATTATGTCACAGCCACAATGAGATATGATGTAACAAGACACCACGATAGTGTTACATGATATCACACCACGATAATGTAACAAGACACCACGATAGTGCCACGTGATATCCCCACGGTAATGTAACAAGTCACCACGATAGTGCCACGTGATATCCCCACGATAATGTAACAAGTCACCACGATAGTGCCACGTGATATCCCCACGGTAATGTAACAAGTCACCACGATAGTGCCACGTGATATCCCCACGGTAATGTAACAAGTCACCACGATAGTGCCACGTGATATCCCCACGATAATGTAACAAGTCACCACGATAGTGCCACGTGATATCCCCACGATAATGTAACAAGACACCACGATAGTGCCACGTGATATCCCCACGGTAATGTAACAAGACACCACGATAGTGCCACGTGATATCCCCACGGTAATGTAACAAGACACCACGATAGTGCCACGTGATATCCCCACGGTAATGTAACAAGTCACCACGATAGTGCCACGTGATATCCCCACGATAGTGCCACGTGATATCCCCACGATTATGTCACATGATATTTAACTCTTACTCTAATTCTAAGGAGATCATTTTTTTCTTTTCAGTTTTGTCTGTTTTGAAAGAAAAACATCACCGTCGCCAAAAAATATTGTAATTCCGTTAACAGATATTGTCAAGTTCCAAAAGGTAAGCCTACCAATACCTGCGGATAATTATACAATTAATATGGCGGTTATAGCTACCTCAGGCTTTGATGTAGTCTTAGATTTCCTACATATAAACCGACTCTGTTACTGTAATATGTATAAATAGCCTACTTTCAATTCATATTTCCTATAATTATTCGTTTTGTGGAGAACCAAAATATTGAATAATGTTTCCCTATTCTGTCACGTTTTAATTTAATCGTTATTTTATAGTATAGAAAATAAAGTGTACATGCTCGACTACGGGACTAAGAAGTCCATTAGATATACACAAGGGAGACAACTCCAATGTATCTATAATTACCTAATGCAGTTGACTTCATGCTATCATTCCTGGGTGTGTTGTAAATATACAATGTTGTACCATTCATCACATATAAGTAATTCTTTGGTAAAACAATTTCACCACGAGCATGGTTTCTTTTCAGTGACCGAGTCTGTTTGAATTCCCGTTGATTCGTTTTTGTGCTGATTATATATCATTGTTTTCTTTTATTATTTTTCGGTTGAATTTGAAGACTATAAATGCTGTCGATGAGTTAGATATCCTGGTGTTACTTGGTGAACTGCCAGCATGCACTGCTGTGTTATTTCCGAGTCAGAATTCTAGACTCACTAAAGGATTAATTGCCATTTCCTTGCTATCATTATGACTTTTCTGTATCCAGGTTTGATATTGTGTAACATGTTGTAAACCAGCTCAAGGTTAACACTCCGGATGATGCATTGTAGTTCACTGTTGTAATTGTGTTGACAATAGTGGAAAGAAGTTTTTGGATGTTTATCCATGTGTATAACGAATGTTAAATGGAGGGAACTGCACTTAAAGTGAAGTTAATGCCGGGTTTGATTTACGTAAATGATGACAATTTTACCGTTCAGTTTAATTTGTTTGATTCTAAGTATTTAGATATAAACTAACTTCGGAATTAGACGTTTAGATTTTAATTCTAAATTCGCTTGATGTTTAGAAGTTGATACAAGAGAGTATAGATCTACCTTACACTTTTTAACCATGACTTTTCGTTCTTCTTTCCTGCTTATATTCCTAATGATGCGTATCCCCAAACATCTTATTTTCAGTATCCCGGTCCTTGTTTTTTGGTATATCTTAGTCCTGCATTGTAAAGATATTAATGGTGTCTGTGCTCGTTTTTAAATTATTCTCTGCAGTATTTGTATTATGTATCAGCAGTTTTATAACAAGATTGTGATAATGACTGTAAGGTGGCGATTTTAAAGTCTATATTAAGAAATAAATTTTGTAACATAACCAAACCATAGTGTAAATATGTGAATGTGAATACTCCTGATTCCGATGATATTTTATAACACTTCGTCCTGCTTTATTCTAACACCATATTTATGTCGCTATAATGATCATATTTAACTTCTTCATGGCGGGATCAATTCTCGTTAGATATAGAGAGCTATGAACAAACAAGAGCAATTGTGCGTCTGCCTATTGGCAGCTGATCGTAGAAATCCTGGCAACACACATAATGTTTTTATCGTATAATGATTTTGGCTTATGTTACAATATAATAACAAGCTACCATAGATAGCAATCAGAACACCCAGCTTTAAAATTATCAAATTTTGAATTTTATTACGTTACCTGAGACAAAACCTCCTGGCACCTATTGTCGTCGCCTCTTGTCCGGCGTCGTAGGTCGTGCTCTCGTAATTTTTTAACATTTCCGACTTCTCCTAAAAAACTCTAAACCGATTATAATGAAATTTTGTAGAACCATTACCTAGCCATTTATGAATCAGAAAAGTGAATTATATGGTGCCTATCCCGAAGGTCCTGAGGGGCGGGGCCAAAAGCGGTCAAATTACCTCATTTTTTTTTATAAATCTTCTTCTCAGCACTAGATATAGTAGGATCAAATGTTCTGTGGTAATGCAAGCGCCATAAGGTGCTTAGGTGTCTCTCATTTCCCTCTTGTATGGTGTAAAGTTTGCTGTAATTTATATGAGAAAATTGTATTTTTGAGCATAACTTTCTTTATTTTTCATTGGAAATAACTTGATAAGAATTATAGGATGTCAGGTTTGATTGAATGCATATATTGGCACTGACTTACTCTGAAGAAGGACTTAAAACATTTCAATTACGTCTTACAATCATCAATGTTACAATTTCTTTTGACACTTGAAAGCTACTTACCCTACAACCTTTATATTCCATATCGATTTTCTCAGGTGATCGTCTAAGCTACTTGGCCTTATGTTTTATTTAAAATATTTCATTCATAACTAACAATATTTATTGTGTGTTTCTTTGTTAAGTTTCCAGCTCATCTGTCAGAAATATCCGAAATGCATGTTATTCCATACCATGGCATAGCGTCCGTTGTCCGGCTATCATCGTCGTATTCCTTTCAGAAACTGTGTATTTTTTTTTTTCTAAATCTGGTCAAACGTTTCAAACTGTATGAAATGAATTACAGTTAGCCAATTTTATGGTCACTGATGTCAAATATGAAAACAACCAGATGTTATAAGAAGATGGTCGATTGTGAAAGGAAAAAGTTTCATATTAATTGTTCTTAACCAAATCACCCAGTTTGATATAGGGCAATACCGTTCTTAGATACAGTGCTGTCAGATTTGTTTAAACAAATGACCTTGACCCAATGTAAACGTTAATGCGATCATCATACTAGAGGGATGGAGGTTTCCTACATGAATAAAAACCTGATTAAACATAGTTAATTTTTTTAAATCTGCAGAACATGTGAGCGATACTGGACAATGGTACCTTTTGTTATCTATTAGTATAAATCATTCTGTCCTTTTGTATTTAATACAGTGTTATGTCGAGTCACAATGTCAACTTTACTCCACTGGGTTGTCTGTTGTGCATTGTCTTATTAATATTGTTTATGATACGTTGATCAGACATAGACAGCTGTGAGTTCACTAGACTAACAATTCTAATTATTTTGCAGTGTAAGCCATACGGTTTACTTCCAGGAAATGGAATGGCATTGGAAATAGTGGTAACAGGAAATAAGGTGCGTAGTTCTGTATCGGTAGCTACACATGTATAATTATCTGTGCTGGAACACCGAGTAGATGTGATACCTTTTACACAACTCTGATATATAGAAGGTGTAGAACATTTTCTCTCTTGAAATTGAATTAGTCAGAATGGAATTGCCTTTCCGTTTAACTGTCAAAGTATGTTCCTTGAAGACGTTTTACAAACCACAGCGCCAAGCGGTTTAAGAAAGCCTGTCAGTGTTCTATAGAACACGTTTCAGTCGCCAATCTTGAGATAGTTTTAGTAATTAGTATGACACCTTCACCACAAACCTCCTAATGAGACGAGAGGAAATCTGTGAATCGTCGATCTTTTGGGATTCTAGGTTATACTTTAGAGCCTCCGACCGTGATTGTTCCCAATAACCAGAGCCGGGGATACTGTGCAATATCAAATGTTCAAAACGGTTTATGTCTAACGTCATTTCAGTAGTAAAAATTATCGTGGTTACCCCACAAGAGTGCACTTCATTCTTAGTGTTGTGTTTTATTTTCATGGTGAGGGTGAAGAAGATATCGAAATTATTCTACTCAAAAAACATTTTGTGCTATACAGTATACCTGCTAGTCTTTAATAGATACCAGTGTGCTCGTTATCCGATCTAAATATATATATATATATATATATATATAGGTGTCTGTATATCCATTCTAAATACCAACACACCAAACGACCTGTTCAAAATACAAACACATCAATTGACCTGTTCAAAATACAAACACATCAATTGAATTGTTCAAAATACCAACACATCAATTGACTTGTTCAAAATACCAACACATCAATTGACTTGTTCAAAATACCAACACATCAATTGACCTGTTCAAAATACCAACACCTCAATTGATCCGTTCAATATACCAACACATCAACTGACCTGTTCAAAATACCAACACATCAATTCACATGTTCAAAATACCAACACACTAAACGACCGGTTTAAAATACCAACAAATCAAGCCACCTTTTCAAAATATCAGCAGATCAATTGACCTATTCAGTAATCAGCACGTCCGTTTATCTGTCCCTTGTACCTGCATTTTGGTTAATCTATTCAAGATACCAACATGTGCTTCACTCCTCTTTTAATTCATCACCACATCTTTAAAACAATTCCATATATCAGAACATTTATTTATCCATTCAATGTATCAACGGGTCTGTTGAGTCGTCTTATGATGTAACTGTTCAAGATAGTAGAGTGTCACGTCTGTTCAAATTTTCACAACTTTTGTTATTCCGTTCAAGATATCCATGTATTCGTTAATTCGGCCTAGATGTGTCTTTATCAATTAAATACATCAAAGTGACGGTTTATCCCTTGAGATGTCAGAGTGTCGTTGCACGTTCCAAATATCAGAGTACCTGTTAAACCGTATTATATATTAGCGCGTCTCTCTATCATAATTATAATGTTTCCGTATTAGATATAAGCGCGTCTCTCTATCATAATTATAATATTTCCGTATTATATATTAGCGCGTCTCTCTATCATAATTATGATGTTTCCGTATTAGATATAAGCGCGTCTCTCTATCATAATTATAATGTTTCCGTATTAGATATTAGCGCGTCTCTCTATCTATCATAATTATAATGTTTCCGTATTAGATATAAGCGCGTCTCTCTATCATAATTATAATGTTTCCGTATTATATATTAGCGCGTCTCTCTATCATAATTATAATGTTTCCGTATTAGATATTAGCGCGTCTCTCTATCATAATTATAATGTTTCCGTATTAGATATTAGCGCGTCTCTCTATCATAATTATAATGTTTCCGTATTAGATATTAGCGCGTCTCTCTATCATAATTATAATGTTTCCGTATTAGATATAAGCGCGTCTCTCTCTCATAATTATAATGTTTCCGTATTATATATTAGCGCGTCTCTCTATCATAATTATGTTGTTTCCGTATTAGATATTAGCGCGTCTGGCTATCATAATTATGATATGTTTAGGATATCGTCGTCTACTCCGTCCCAGACCCGAAGTGACCATGTTCATACCGTAGACCTAGCTGTTGCAATGACTCGAAATTTAAACCATCACGAGGCTTTTATATCTTAAAGTCCTTTTGAATAACGGACTCTAAATGACCATATCTCAGCATATTTTAGTTTAAATTGCTCTTATCGTTTGCAACTTTGATGAAACATTCCTAATGTGTATATAGGTTAATATCGGTACATTAATGAATGTATAATGAACTTTAACATTGAAGGTTAAAACTGGTTTACAATGTAATATAAAATATTGTTCTGGAACGCCTTATGCAGGCTCCTTTTTATTTCACTTTGCTTTAGCGTATTCTACACTAATAGTGAAGTGTTTGGAATGTATCATAACCCTTCTATAGTAAACACTGACTTTGTCTCTGTTGAGACAACCTTATTCGTAATTGCTGCTCAACACCATAATTCGGATTTCGTTCCCGAAACAAAAATCGACTGTTTGACCTGTGCAGACAATGATTACCATAAAACCATTGGTCCTCCAGAAAGTTGAAAAAACTGTTTGTTATGAAAGGGAGATACAGACATATTTGGTACCTACTTTTAATTGACTGGAGATTCTTTACATTATCATGATGTTTGTCTGTCAGAGGTCCACGAGATTAGTTAGAGCAGAATTTCGATTTCCGTTTAAAAGCCTAGTATATAAGTCATTACCATATTTAGCTTAAGCTGATCACAAGATCATTTTTCTGAATACGATGCCACTTTTCGTTAAAAATTGTCTCAGTTATGGTTATTTCAGATCATCAAATTGTATATTTAATCTATATAACATCGTAGTTTTAATATGCTATCCTTATTCTGTTACCAGTGTCGTTCCGTATTTTACAGACATTTGTCTTCGGAGGTATCCTGAACAGGGATGAAGCTTATGACCACATCGTAGAAATAGGACTAGAAAATATGTTACCGTGGGCCACTGGTGAGACGTTATCAGTACAGCAAGAGGATATAGGGGCATCGTCAACCACTCTAAGGAAAAGAAACAGTGGGCAAAAGTTCCGGAATTTCAGTTTGGCGTCAGAATATAATGACTCGGATTAACGTTGAAAGTGAAATACAGAGACATGTACTGTACGTGTTAACGGATATTGTTTACTAAAAAGTTTCGTTTTTCAGTAGATTTGTATTTTTTTAGTTTCAATAATCAACCTGCAAAAATTGTCTTTACTGTGTTAGTTGTACATGAAGTGAAGTGTTAGCATTTCAAATCAGTACAGATAAACGTATCATTTTGATATTGCTAATCTTGTGTTTTATATATAATTCGCACTTGTTTTTGTTTACTTTAGATATATGCATATTTAGCATTTTACATCAGTTTTCTTTTCATATAAATTACCTGAAAAGTGTTTTAGATTTTTTTATTTACACAACTTCTGGAAGACTAGAATGAAAATATCTTAACTGTTCCGCATATGTGAGAAATCATTGAATTTCCATTTACATGACGTCAAAGCAGAGATGTAGCCTGACTGTGTTTCATATTTACGGCGGAAATTCGTGATTAAAGCGTAACAAATTAAGATTTAATGGCGACGCGTACAGACAGCAGCATCGGTTTTAATAATCTAGAGAGACTACTGGCAAATGTATAGCGCTATTTCTATAAATCTACCTTCATTTTTATATTTACAGAACGTTTTGTCGTAATATTTACAAGAAAATGTCAGATTTCTTACTTATTCCTTTCATCACCGTACATATATCAATTGGCAGCGAAACGAAGTTCAATTTAATTACGAAGATTGATAATGTCATTGAAACATAACTTTCATTTACATTGTATGATACAGGCAAATTAAACCCATAACATAAATTATTCTGTTACATTTGTATTTTTGGAACCTTTTCAATAAAATGCCTTTTTTCTGTTCTTGTAATTTTATTACTTTTTTTCAGAATTTCCTATTAAGACATGCATTATATTCTTAAACAATGATATTGATAAGTATACTGTTTTAATGCAATTACAATATCAAAACAATATACACTATTCTGTAATGTATAGCAATCATGCAAATCTTTCACGTCGTAAAATATATTGATATAAATAAACAGCTGGATTATTGATAAAGATAGGTTTGGCCAATGAGAGTATAATACGGACACTCCAACATACAGATTTCTTACACTTAATGCATACGGGTTCATTGATCACGTATTTCACACTTTTCTAAAAAGTAAGATAGAGCACACTTCAGCGTATATCTAGTTGAAAAAAAACACTTGTATAAGTACAATATACATGTGTAGTTTGTTACAGTCATAATCTTTGTACAGATACGCGTGCAGAAAAGTACAGGTCCGTGCATACAAAATTACACTCCTGTACCGTGTGAAGATATGAATACACCTGTACCAGTTTGTGTGTAGATATGAACACTCCTTCCTGTACCGGTAAGCGTGTAGATATGAACACACCAGTACCGGACGTGTGTAGATATGAACACACCTGTACCGGTACGTGAGAAGATAGGTACACCTGTACCTATATCTCTATATAGTTAAGTGTTTCTATGTCGTTAATAATTTCTGTAGATATAAAATGAAAGGGACAGCCCCGGACTGAGATTACTGGAGAGGCCACGTTGTGCTATAACATTATTTCATCTAGATAGACATGAAGCTTGTTAACATTACAAGAAGCGGCACATTATATCTCCCGCTTGGTTGATTACGTCCTTGCTATATTACAACAATGCTGTAGACATGCGAAGTATCAGATTGATGGTTTCATTATATACAAAAATATATATGTTTACAAGGAATAACGTGTACATACAACAATGCTGTAGACACAACACCTGAATATGTTGACATGGCAGCCCAAAGTTTGCACCGTAAACCTAAATCTGTGTCATAATATTAAACTTTAACCAAATTAAAAATTGTTTATGAAAGCAGACGAATCACACCTATATAATACCTATGTTTTACGCTGTTATACAGATATCGGCAATGTGTGATGATTGCGTCGTGAAACCCTTGTTAACGTCACTAGGACGCGGCAGTGTCTACCTGGAGTTATTCTAATGTCCTTACCCTTAGTGAATGTGCATCTTCTCTGAAAATATATTTGGCATTTATGACTATTTAATTGTGCCTTGGACTCAATCATTCTGTATAGGACTTTTTATAAAACGTTTTTGTTCTGTTCTAAAATGATCGACACGTTCCACACTGAACAGAACAATAAGGATATTGAACTATCAAAATTGTCGATATTTTGCTTTCTTGATATACATTAATTTGCGTTCACTGTTACATTACATACGAACACCTATATTGGTTCCCATTTGCTGAGGCTTTCCGAATTTTTTTCTAATGCGTGGTCACAATACTTAATTTCATAATAGTGACAAGCGATTAAAAAATGAACGAAATATCTTTCTAAATAAGACACTGTGTCACTTGATGTTAATTTCTGTCGTTCTCGTTTATGACGAATTCCCAGTAATTCTGTATCGTTAATTATTGAAGTCACTGATAGATGATCCCACATAGTATCACTAATGTAGCTCCTAATAAACAGAGTTTGATGTTGGTGGTACTCTGAGTTTGTTTGACTCCCAAAAAACTTAAATTTGAAAACACATTATGAGTATTTTGGCTTTTGTAATGTTGACCCTGTAGATACACATATAAGCACACTGATTGTCGTTCACATGCATCACGGTTCCGCGGCTGCAATCGGAGCTTTGTCACTCTCATCGTTGTCGGGTGTTTCAGATTGGCCTCGTCCGTTGGCGGCTGTCATGCGGACGGGCTCCATGTTTCGGCCTGCCTTCTACAATAAAACAAAGGAAAACGATATGTTTCTTTGATAATGATCAACGTTACTTCCATATACCTGTAAATAAAATGTTCTTTGATGTTTCTTCAATAATCGATGGCATTCGAAAGATGTTTGACAAGGAATTCAAACTAAACACTGATATGAGATGACATGGAGATAAAGTCTTACTGTGTAACCAGTAGTGAATCGTAGAGAAAGTTATCTCATATCATACGAACAAGGGAGTACACCATCTTACCTTTTTCCTGTACCTGTGTACCAGTATTTCAACCACCAGCATAATCACCCCGACAACAAGGCCAAACAGGAGAACCACAAAGGCGAGTGAGAGATCGGCCAGCGTGAGAGGTCGGGCTGTAATCTTAGCCGTCTCTTGTCGACTGATGTAGTCGTCCAAGTTTGGCGGTGTACAAAGCCCACTGGTGAACCATTTACTGTATAGCATGTACATGCTCCCATCCTCTCGTATTTCCCTAACAGCCTCCGAAAGTTCGTTACACAACCCTCTTGTAGACTTGCTACATGCAAATCCAATCTGACTAATACTGATCATTTCTCCGACCAACATGAGGTCGCAGTTTTTAGATGCGATGTAGTCGGCTTCCGTACTCTCAACAATTGCAGCATACCCGTTAGGCGAATTTCTAATTCTCTGTATGGCATCACTAATTTGTTTAAAGTTGTTATCCCCGAGGTTCATGTAAGCCAGTATCTTATGAAATACTGGGTCGTTTGAGTCCCTCAGCTTGTTGATCAGATGGACGTTCTGCATGGTCCCGTATGGAGTCAGAGTTTGTGCTGCCATTTCATGGAATGTTTTGAAAGGAACGGTTTGTTGGTTTGGTCCTCTAGCGATCAGTAACGCCGTGAGGTTAGCAGTGTAGGCAATGATCATGAAGAAGATAAAACTGAACCACATACAGACAATAATCCTTCCAGCTGGTGACTTCGGTACCTCTTTGTACCCTACAACAAAAACATACAGACAATAAGTCTTCCAGCTGGTGACTTCGGTACCTCTTTGTACCCTACAACAAAAACATACAGACAATAATCCTTCCAGCTGGTGACTTCGTTACCTCTTTGTACCCTACAACAAAAACATACAGACAATAAGTCTTCCAGCAGGTGACTTCGGTACCTCTTTGTACCCTAAAACAAAAACACATACAGACAATAATCTTTCCGGCTTGTGACTTCGGTACCTCTTTGTACCCTACAACAAAAACATACAGACAATAAGTCTTCCAGCTGGTGACTTCGGTACCTCTTTGTACCCTACAACAAAAACACATACAGACAATAATCTTTCCGGCTTGTGACTTCGGTACCTCTTTGTACCCTACAACAAAAACATACAGACAATAAGTCTTCCAGCTGGTGACTTCGGTACCTCTTTGTACCCTACAACAAAAACATACAGACAATAAGTCTTCCAGCTGGTGACTTCGGTACCTCTTTGTACCCTACAACAAAAACACATACAGACAATAATCTTTCCGGCTTGTGACTTCGGTACCTCTTTGTACCCTACAACAAAAACATACAGACAATAAGTCTTCCAGCTGGTGACTTCGGTACCTCTTTGTACCCTACAACAAAAACATACAGACAATAAGTCTTCCAGCTGGTGACTTCGGTACCTCTTTGTACCCTACAACAAAAACACATACAGACAATAATCTTTCCGGCTTGTGACTTCGGTACCTCTTTGTACCCTACAACAAAAACATACAGACAATAAGTCTTCCAGCTGGTGACTTCGGTACCTCTTTGTACCCTACAACAAAAACACATACAGACAATAAGTCAATAAGTCTTCCAGCTGGTGACTTCGGTACCTCTTTGTACCCTACAACAAAAACATACAGACAATAAGTCTTCCAGCTGGTGACTTCGGTACCTCTTTGTACCCTACAACAAAAACACATACAGACAATAATCTTTCCGGCTTGTGACTTCGGTACCTCTTTGTACCCTACAACAAAAACATACAGACAATAAGTCTTCCAGCTGGTGACTTCGGTACCTCTTTGTACCCTACAACAAAAACATACAGACAATAAGTCTTCCAGCTGGTGACTTCGGTACCTCTTTGTACCCTACAACAAAAACACATACAGACAATAATCCTTCCAGCTGGTGACTTCGGTACCTCTTTGTACCCTACAAAAAAAACATACAGACAATAAGTCTTCCAGCTGGTGACTTCGGTACCTCTTTGTACCCTACAACAAAAACACATACAGACAATAATCCTTCCAGCAGGTGACTTCGGTACCTCTTTGTACCCTACAACAAAAACACATACAGACAATAATCTTTCCGGCTGGTGACTTCGTTACCTCTTTGTACCCTACAACAAAAACACATACAGACAATAAGTCTTCCAGCTGGTGACTTCGGTACCTCTTTGTACCCTACAACAAAAACACATACAGACAATAATCTTTCCGGCTTGTGACTTCGGTACCTCTTTGTACCCTACAACAAAAACACATACAGACAATAATCTTTCCGGCTTGTGACTTCGGTACCTCTTTGTACCCTACAACAAAAACACATACAGACAATAATCTTTCCGGCTTGTGACTTCGGTACCTCTTTGTACCCTACAACAAAAACACATACAGACAATAATCTTTCCGGCTTGTGACTTCGGTACCTCTTTGTACCCTACAACAAAAAACACATACAGACAATAATCTTTCCGGCTTGTGACTTCGGTACCTCTTTGTACCCTACAACAAAAACATACAGACAATAAGTCTTCCAGCTGGTGACTTCGGTACCTCTTTGTACCCTACAACAAAAACACATACAGACAATAATCTTTCCGGCTTGTGACTTCGGTACCTCTTTGTACCCTACAACAAAAAACACATACAGACAATAATCTTTCCGGCTTGTGACTTCGGTACCTCTTTGTACCCTACAACAAAAACATACAGACAATAAGTCTTCCAGCTGGTGACTTCGGTACCTCTTTGTACCCTACAACAAAAACACATACAGACAATAATCTTTCCGGCTTGTGACTTCGGTACCTCTTTGTACCCTACAACAAAAACACATACGGACAATAATCTTTCCGGCTGGTGACTTCGGTACCTCTTTGTACTCTGCGTGTTAGATTTTAGTTTACTTTTCTTACCATGCAAGTGAACATGTGTGATGTGAGTGTGGTTACCTTCTCACGTAAATATACAGGTGGATTTTTTTAGTTTTAATTACCTTGTCGTTTACAGGAAAGGTGTAAGTTTTCATTCCTTGGCTTGTGAGTGTACAGTTGAGATTTCAGTTCAATTGTTACACTGCTAGGCGAGTGTACATTGTATATGTAAAAAATAGCTTTCATCACCTTGTCACGTGAGTGAACATATGATATTTCAGTTTAATTACCTTGCCAAGTCAGCGTACTATGAACGAAGAAGAAAGCGTTGTTTGCTGCGAAGCTGTTCCTGGAAAAAGTCGGATCCTCGTGTTCGGGTAACTGACCCCATTCTGATGGACTAAATTTGTTGATGATAATAAGGACCCCGCCCATGAGCCACGAGATGACCACCACTAAAATCCACACCGGAAGTGAGTAGGGTTCAAACAATACCTACAAACCACATAACATATCATTAACTGCATTGTTGATATCGATAGTGTATTATATTCAAGATATCACTACCCTTCATTTCTAATAATTACATAAGTAAAAATATATAATTGTAAATAACTCTCTTTAAAATGGGTTTTATTTTTTCGCAAAATATTTCTCCAAATTCATATCTAACGTGTTAACTCATAGAACACAAGCACTTGCTATTAACCTACATATTTTACTTGGGAGTTTTCCAGGCTGAAAATAACACGCTAAGATTTCATTGCGCCACTTACAGTTTCTGTGTGTTGTTCATATTGTGAATTTAGAATTTCATCATTGGCTAATTTGCAAAACATACATGACGCGTTAAAATTTGATTGCACCAATCAGCACGTGCTCAATGTTACTGTGTCTTTTTTACCTTTAATGGATCGTTGTGTGTGACTGGCTTTTTTATAAGTATCCTGTGTCCGCTGTTGATAATGGGTGTAGAAAAATCAACTACTGACTGTCGCTTCTCCGTCACAATCATCGGCATTGCTGCAATATCAGCTTCCTACACATCAAGTCATGATAAATGTATAGCATATTGTGGACAGGTACCGGTCACAATCTATATCAGAAAGCTGAGGTTCCGCCTTATGTACATTGAATAGTATACACTGAGATTAAGTCTCCACACAGAATATAAATTGTGACCGATGTTTGTGTTTGTATACACAAATAGTCCCATAGTACAGGGGTTGTTTTGCTGAAGAAACATGTCCCAGTGACAGCAACAAACAAGTAACGCGATTTCTTAATTAAAAAACAGATTTAGTAAGAAATAAGTTAATAGATATAACAAGGCGAGGAGGAAGAAATATCCTTCATCAGATTATTTTTGATGTGTGGTCATTATCAAATGGAACATAATCATGCATGCAACTGATACCGAGTTTCAATTTTCGATCACAAACATATTGATAGATGTCAATATAGAAAGAATATTTGAACGAATCAATGTTATGAAGAACTTACTCCAGCGAGGAGTTCGCCTATTGCCCCGTCCCATCTTCCTCCCATTTCACTGCCGTACTTGCCGTCCTTGACAAAGGCAAGAGAGAAATTGAAGTCCGCTACCCTGGACACCTTCTCCAACAGGTCAATCATGAAGCCCTCCTGACGTCGACCACCGTCACGTTCCATCACCCATGGGGGAGCCTTACGTTATTAAATGAAATCGTTTTACTCTATGTTGTTCCACAGTAACAGCCTAGTCACGGCACCTTAATTATGTTGGGATTTAGTTTGATTACTAATTAATTGAAATTTCATGTAAAGTGCCGTCAAAGAAGCAGAATACGCTTACCATTTGGAGACACTTATCAATTATCATAGTACTTTTCATAAAGCTATGTATAAATCTTCATTGTCCAAAATTACTTTTTTATTTACAACAAAGAAAAGACAAAAGGGCAAATATGCAATGTACGTTCCAATAAGGGGTCCATTTTAACTGTAAATCTGATGCTGAACACTACCTTGAAAAATATATATAGATTGATTGGAAGATGATACTTGATACTGGCTTTGTTCTAAGAGAAATAAACACGGATGCTGCTTTGGAAAACAAATTTCTCTCAAGCATATTAAAACGGGAGGAGGAGATACAACATAATCTGGAGCCGGTTTTGATATCAGGTGAATGGACTTAAATTCACTGATCGGATATGTATTTTATAATTAGAAATTATGAAGTGAGTTAAACCCCAGATAATGAAATCAGGAAACTGTACTTACCAGTAATGTGACGACTTTGTATGATGCATCCTGAGCCTAAAAATAGATATAAACAATTAAAACTTCATTACCTGTCTACATGTAAATAAATCGCTATATAATTTTAATTGAAGCAGCAAACTAATGTCTCACTAGATCAGCTATTTCTCCTGTGTTATGTAATAAATCGACAGGATATAAACCTACTGGGCGCTCTTCTGGTAAATAAAGCATTGATTTCTCTATACAATAAGTCACAATCGTACACTGTATCAAACATTATCCTTTACTTCAAACTGTCAACAATGTATATTTCCTTATGTCCATCTGTCAACAATGTATATTTCCTTCTGTCCATCTGTCAACAATGTATATTTCCTTATGTCCACTTGTCAACAATGTATATTTCCTTCTGTCCATCTGTCAACAATGTATATTTCCTTATGTCCATCTGTCAACAATGTATATTTCCTTCTGTCCATCTGTCAACAATGTATATTTCCTTCTGTCCATCTGTCAACAATGTTTATTTCCTGATGTCCACCTGTCAACAATGTATATTTCCTAACGTCCACCTGTCAACAATGTTTATTTCCTTATCTCCACCTGTCAGCACTGTATGTTTCCTTCTGTCTACTTGTCAACAATGTATATTTCCTTATGTCCACCTGTCAACAATGTATATTTCCTTATGTCTACCTGTCAACAATGTTTATTTTCTATGTCTACCTGTCAACAATGTATATTTCCTAACGTCCACCTGTCAATAATGTTTATTTCCTTATGTCCACCTGTCAGCACTGTATGTTTCCTTCTGTCTACTTGTCAACAATGTATATTTCCTTATGTCCACTTGTCAACAATGTCTATTTCCTTATGTCCAACTGTCAACAAAATATATTTCCTTATGTCCACATGTCAGCAATGTCTGTTTCATTATATTCACCTGTCAACAATCTGTATTTTGTATGTCCACCTATCAACAATATATATTTCCTTATGTCTACCTGTCAACATTGTTTATTTCCTTATGTCCACCTGTCAACAATGTTTATTTCCTTATGTCCACCTGTCAACAATGTTTATTTCCTTATGCCCACCTGTCAACAATATATACTTCCTTATGTCCACCTGTCAACAATGTATGTTTCCTTATGTTCACCTGTCAACAATCTTTATTTTTTATGTCCACCTATCAACAATATATACTCCCTTCTGTCTACTTGTCAACAATGTTTATTTCCTTATGTCTACCTGTCAACAATGTTTATTTCCTTATGTCCACCTGTCAACAATATATACTTCCTTATGTCCACCTGTCAGCAATGTATATTTTCATCTGTCTACCTGTCAACAATGTCTATTTCCTTATGTCCACCTGTCAACAATATATATTTCCTTCTGTCTACCTGTCAACAGTGTATATTTTCTTGTGTCTACCTGTCAACAATGTTTATTTCCTTATGTCCACCTTTCAACAATGTCTATTTCCTTATGTCTACCTGTCAACAATGTCTATTTCCTTATGTCTACCTGTCAACAATCTATTTTTTATGTCTACCTGTCAACAATGTTTATTTCCTTATGTCCATCTGTCAACAATATATATTTCCTTATGTCCACCTGTCAACAATGTTTATTTCCTTATGTCCACCTGTCAACAATGTTTATTTTCTATGTCTACCTGTCAACAATGTTTATTTCCTTATGTCCACCTGTCAACAATATATACTTCCTTATGTCAACCTGTCAGCAATGTATATTTTCTTCTGTCTACCTGTCAACAATGTCTATTTCCTTTTGTCCACATGTCAGCAATGTATGTTTCCTTATGTTCACCTGTTAACAATCTATATTTTGTATGTCCACCTGTCAACAATCTTTATTTTTTATGTCCACCTATCAACAATATATATTTCTTAATGTCCACTTGTCAGCAATGTATGTTTCCTTATGTCCACCTGTCAACAATCTTTATTTTTTATGTCCACCTGTCAACAATATATATTTCTTAATGTCCACTTGTCAACAATATATATTTTCTTCTGTCTACCTGTCAACATTGTCTATTTCCTTATGTCCACCTGTCAACAATGTTTATTTCCTTATGTCCACCTGTCAACAATGTCTATTTCCTTATGTCCACCTGTCAACAATGTCTATTTCCTTATGTCCACCTGTTAACAATGTTTATTTCCTGCTGTCCACTTGTCAACAATGTTTATTTCCTTATGTCTACCTGTCAACAATGTTTATTTCCTTCCGTCCACCTGTCAACAATGTTTATTTCCTTATGTCTACCTGTCAACAATGTTTATTTCCTTCTGTCTACCTGTCAACAATGTTTTTTCCTTCTGTCTACCTGTCAACAATGTATAGTTTCACAAGCTTACCTGTAGATATTTGATATTTTTCGATGTTAACTGGTCAAAGTTACACCTTTCATGTATTTATATTACAATGTATTTGTATGTGCATTTAGTATTTCACAACCTTCAGACACTGTAAATCATGAGGAAAATCTTGGCAGAATGTGAAATTAAAGAAGTTCAGATAGCAGTACGCCGATTCTAAAATCAAACACATGCAGAGTAAAGGCCAATTCTGTGCCCTACAGGAACACAAACAACAAAATATGTATAAAAGATCCCACGTGATAAGCGCGTCTTCCCGCACGCACAGACAGCCATGGCTCTGTAACGAATAGACAGATAAACCAACTGGTGAAAAGTAATTCATGAGAAGTAGATTTATCTAAGTTTCAATCTCTCTATAAAATCATAATGTTAACAGGATGCTGGCTGCTTGAACAGGCTACTCACTGTTCACCGAGTGGTTTCATTTATATGTCTAGTCTGTTATACTTGATACAAGTGACGTGTTATATTTCATTTTCTAAACTGAAATAGTTTTATTTATCAGACACGAACGTTTTGACAAAAGAAAATACAGTCTACAATTTATTCGCAAGACAAGAAAAAATATACATAATCAAAGATTTTCAGCAAAAGATTCTTACATGATACAGCCAATTCAAATGTGTTTACAACCGTCAGTTATTGTACAGTGTTCTTTAAATTTGATATCTGGGGCTGGTCCCCTTCTGGTCATTTAGTCAGATGATGTCACAGTGTTTGTCATTATATCTTAGTCCACCGAATCAGTAAATCCGACTGAGCTATTTGTGGAGAAATCTGGTGTGATAATATGTATCATTACTACAGTAACAACATCTTTTCTCTCCATAATGTATTTCCCAAACACACATAAATATTAAGACATATTGATATACAGATATACATTTACAACCGCACCACAGACCTCAGTCAGGCTCAGAAAATTCGGTGAAATACTAAAATTGTTTTTTGTTAGTTGCAGAGATGCATACCTCCTAACGAAAGCTTTCTTAGTTCATACTGATATCATGTTAGGTTCGCTGTTGTCAGTTTCTATTTATAACATTGAAATTTCACGTGTCTGTGACGACACAGCAACTTTGAACTCACCCGATTAAAGTTATATCATCATAGAGAGAGAAATTGATTACAGCGACGCATTTCATACAGCTTATCTTATATACTGGCTGTAGTTGCAAGATGGAGTGTGTTAATGTACACAGGGGATGTGAACACTGAGCTTACTGGTAGGGACTTTCGATAACAAGGGTGACTTACATTGTAAAGCTAGAGAAAAGTATCACTATTTAAGTTATTTCATAGAAATATTTAATGTAACCATTTAAATATAACAGCGCCAGACGGTTGTGACTTAGGTCCAATCCGAATCATCTGCTCTCAAACTTTTAAATATATTTAGTAGTAATATTAAAGATAACTTTGAAATTACGTCTTTTAAACATATCATGTTACCAGGATTGTTGCTAGGCCCCGTCTCTCAACAAACAAATAATTACCTGTACTTTTTTAACGCCTGCGTATTATGAATACGATACAGATTTTACCGTAGTTTACCAAGGTCCGTTCTTACTGTCTTATCTATCGCACGAAAGACTTTTCAGAGGAATGTTTGCCAGACTCGTAGTAATAATAAATACTTCTAAATAGTGTATCAAGTAGATACATCGGTGAAATCACATTTGTTTACAAACATGTCTACCTACACTGACGGACAGACCAGGCAAGTCGTATAAAGATGAAGTACACTAAACTTTCTACCTCGCGCCATCCAGTGACCAGATAATGACCATGTGCTATTTTTACAACCACAGAAAATTTTCCACTTGTTAGAGACGCGCCAACGTGTGTAACTTTCATATATAAATAGTACAAATCGCCCTTCCTCATTGTTTAAGGTAAATATGGCCACTCGAAAATTCAAATGAAATAACGAGATAGCGTGTTTGCAACTTGTCGTAGTTATAGAACATATTTAAATCGACAGAATGAGAGTTCTTCTTTACAGCAGTGAAACAGTAATTCACCGCGGCAGGTGTCTGTTTTTTATATAAATCTACAGACGCAGAGATACGGATCACTTTCCTGAACGCGCATCTTTCCTTAGAGGATTAGTAAAGCTCCATGTTAGCCGGAGAGGATTTTGATGAGAACCCGTGCTGTGAACGATAAACAGAGATTGAGGACGTTAGTGTTGGGCAGGAGTCCTTGGCTCGCTGTACCGAATCTTGTGTTAAAGTCATTATTTGCCATTTTATAGATAAGCGTTCTTATGATTTCAAAGTATTGTTGGATACTCGCCAGAAATGTTTAGCGTTCCGTGTTGTTATCAGGGTAATGTTTGCTATACTTTTCCGTACAGGCAGCTTGATACACAGGTATCTTGTGGGGTCTTGAGGTCAAACAAAATCAATTCAATCAAAATAACTGGTTATCTAGCTGCTAAATCAACAATATTCAAAATAACGAGATGTTTACCTAGCTGTCTCTAACGACATAACTCATGGTAACGAAATATCTATCAAGCTGTCTCTAACGACAGAACTCATGGTAACGAGATACCTGTCAAGCTGTCTCTAACGACAGAACTCATAATAACGAGATGTCTACCTAACAGTAGCTAACGACAGAACTCATGGTAACGAAATGTCTACCTAGCTGTCTCTAACGACAGAACTCATGGTAACGAAATGTCTACCTAGCAGTCTCTAACGACAGAATACTTGATAGAAAAATGTTTACCTAGCTGTCTCTAACGACAGAACTCATGGTAACGAAATGTCTACCTAGCTGTCTCTAACGACAGAACTCATGGTAACGAAATGTCTACCTAGCTGTCTCTAACGACAGAATACCTGATAGCAAAATGCCTACCTTACTGTAACTAATGACGGAACATACAGTAAAATAAATTCTTTATAAGTCAGTCTGTTTACGTTATACGTAAGTAGTGATATTTGGCAGGGTAAACTACAAAACGTAAAACTACACATGTTTACTCGAGAAGGAGTAAGATACGCAGTTAGAAAATAAATAACCTCAAATATGTAAACAAAACAAAACAACTGATGGTTCCATGTGTTAAACATTTGAGTTATATTTCAGCTTTTGTTTTGTGCTGATGGTTCCCAATGTTATATATAGGGGTACAAGGTTATAGAGTTACATGCCCTACTTTGTACATGTGAGCATGTTATTCAAGTGCAAAGTAATTCGTGTGTTTTTTTCTGGATCAAGATATAAATGTGACCTTTAACTAAACATAAAAATTAATACTTATTAACCTATGTTTTTATACCTAGCAGTATAATCTTGGCGCTATAGATAACAAAATATTTCGTATCTCTAGTGCAAAACCATTCATCAAATGTGCAAACTGATTACATTTTTCATTTATCAATATTATTATATTATGTCTTTTTTTAATTTCAGAGTTATAAATATATAAAGTTCCGGTTAATTATCATTAGCTATATCGGTGAAAAGACAGCACTTGTTTTGTTCACGACCGCTGTTGGATCTGTGACAAGAAACTACCATCTCCGTTTTTGAGTCAATGCAGAAATTGTTCGCCGTGAGATAAGTGGAGTGTGAAATTTCAGATGGTCGGCAGTAAAATTGAATGCTGCATGGCAAATTGTGGACTGGTTGTATACTTAGACATTGCTGTAAGATACGGTCGGTAAAAGTCATATCGGAAAGAAAACAAGGACGTCCACTCTAAAGAGAACGGCATTGTAGCACGTCTGGTGAAGCTCGTGGAAAGGTGACCGATCTGTGTATTTCAAAACCACAACGGACAAGAGACGCTTTAACCATAGGGAGTTTATCATTGACCATCCTATGCATATATCGCATGCCAAATACTTCTGGCTGTGGGCTGTGATTAATGACAGCCGTTAGCGTTAGTGCAAGCTCTGTCTCTGTATTACCTGACCGGTCAGCACGTTCAACAGAAATTGGCATCACCAATGGAACGCCCACTTTAAAGAACGTATACTAATTCAAACAATTTGCAAGAAACTTTTAAGCTCATCCAATCAAATTATCAAAGAAGTTCATGTAGAGATAAAAATTGTAAAATTATATGCAAATTATGGTGTCAAAAAACAAAACAAAATGTGAAAATACAAAATAAAGTGAAAATACAAAAACAAAACGTGAAAATATGAAATACAATGTGAAAATAGAAAAATAAAACGAAAATCCAAAACAAAACGTGAAAATACAAAACAAAATGTGCGGATGCAAAACAGAAGTGAAAATACAAAACAAAAATGAAAAACACACAATACAACTATATGATACAGAAAAGACTTGACATTTTAAAAACAGAAAGTCACGTCTAAAGCATTAGAACATGGTTTTATTATTTTTTGATATCAACATGAAAGCCTTCCTTAACAATGTTTGCTTCTGCGTCACACGATTAAAGTTGATCTGGTTTATGGTAAGGAGAGTGACTCCCAGACAGATGATATAGTCTTATCGGTACTGAGGAAAATGTGGGGGACACGCCACGCTGTAAGGGCTTGGTCCAACTGATAAAGAGGAGTCGGCTGGTACAAAAATGACCCCTCCTCACAACAGCGTGACTATTCAATATACGAATGGGCGCTGTCAAAACACAGTACAGACTATCTTAGTGAAGCTTTGTTTCCACATTAGGTTCTATGTTCACAACAGTCCTTTGTTATATCACAGTCACTGTATCATTTAATCAATAGGAAACACCTAGGCTATATATAGAAATCATCGACTACAAAAGTTAAATAATGAAATACAACTTGTACGAGACACACCTGTTACTAAACAAGTGCATCAACTGTCTTAGATACGTAATAACGTAAAACAGGATCTTTAGATATGTAGGTATTGATTGGACGTGATTAATGCAATAAAACTGCAATTAAATCCCAATATGTTCTTTGTTGAATTATTAATTTAGTACTTGCATATTCATATACACACAACTGACGTCATATAATTTATTCGATGCACTATTTGTTGAAAACTTATATTTACACAAAAGAGTTTTACATGTAAATGGCTTGTTAACTCCAATAGTTAAAAACGTGATCAAGAAGTGGAAGGTAAAAAGACATCCAAGTCAATAGTATCTTTAATTACAATTTTAGAGTTTAATAAAAGTATATCCAAATAATTCATTATACTGTATCATTTCGTCCTTTTAGGAATCGTCAGTGATGCTTTGGGCCTATGAACCTCTAATTCATTATACTATATCATTTCGTCCTTTTAGGAATCGTCAGTGATGCTTTGGGCCTATGAACCTCTAATTCATTATACTATATCATTTCGTCCTTTCAGGAATCGTCATTGATGCTTTGGGCCTATGAACCTCTAATTCATTATACTATATCATTTCGTCCTTTTAGGAATCGTCAGTGATGCTTTGGGCCTATGAACCTCTAATTCATTATACTATATCATTTCGTCCTTTTAGGAATCGTCAGTGATGCTTTGGGCCTATGAACCTCTAATTCATTATACTATATCATTTCGTCCTTTCAGGAATCGTCATTGATGCTTTGGGCCTATGAACCTCTAATTCATTATACTATATCATTTCGTCCTTTTAGGAATCGTCAGTGATGCTTTGGGCCTATGAACCTCTAATTCATTATACTATATCATTTCGTCCTTTTAGGAATCGTCAGTGATGCTTTGGGCCTATGAACCTCGGAGGCGCCTAGTGAAAATCAACATTAATCAAATAAATAACAATGAATGTCAAATACTACTTTTTTTTTCAGGAATCGTCAATGATGCTTTGGGCCTATGAACCTCGGAGGCGCCTAGTGAAAATCAACATTAATCAAATAAATAACAAGAATGTCAAAGAGGGGGGGGAGAGAGAGAGAGAGAGAGAGAGAGAGAGAGAGAGAGAGAGAGAGAGAGAGAGAGAGAGAGAGAGAGAGAGAGAGAGAGAGGTTGCATTAACTCCAAACCCGATTTTTTTTAGATTTAATTTGTTTTAATATTGCATAATTTCAAATAAGAACATCAAGTATACAAGTATATTCTGAACAAACAAACAAATTTAAACTGAGAGGTGGAAAGTATATATACACTTACCAAAGACTACAATGTGTATAGTCAGTAATGAATTAATGTACGATGGTCAGTATACAAACAAATATCTATAAACAAACAAATAGCTGCACTAATAACAACAAGTAAACACAATTGTGTACCTCCACATCTGGTATAGATGATGAACTTTATACATACCTCAATCGAAATAGAACATCCAACCACAGCGATCAGGCACGACAGCTTCCAGAATTTCATTTTGGTGGAAATAACTTCACTGAAAATTTCAACTCCGTCTCAGTAGCAGATACCCGATGTGTAAGAGAACTGGAATGCACTGGACGGGGCAGGGAGACTGGGTTTAACCAAGGTGTAACCTGATACCACGTCGTTATCAATGCACGCGTTAGAACCGGCAACCAGTACTGTTCTTAAACAGTTTTCTCTACTCTCGCCAGAGAGATTTTAATATCCTAAAATCAGACTGACAGAAAATCACATGTAACCTGTTAGGATGATACGATTTAATTTTGTACAGCAGCTGAGTCCTGTGAGGCAGGCAGGTGGAGTAGCCCCGCTGGTACAAAGCTTTATCTTCCTCCTCTGTGAACCAGTTCTGCAGCGCAGTATCATCCCTCGCTAAAGTCACAACTGATTTTGATAATTAACGATACAGATATAAAAGTGTTTATATCAAGCATTCTGTTCACTATATTACTTAAGTTGCCCTTTACAGAGGAAGGTATACAGTTGGAGATAAGTGCCCCTTACAGTTCAGGATGTATGGGAAACTACATGAAGTAGAAATAGAAAACAAGATGGAGTTAGGACAATATGTCTATTATTATAACAATGAGAGGTCAGCGGTGACGTGCGCCGCCAGTCTTTTGTAGGATTTAGAGGGAGATCACACATTTTATCTGTTTGGCGTGTTCATTAGTATGAACAACTATCGGATATTGAAAATGCTTTAGAGGAAGCTGGTTAAGAATAAGAAGATATTTTACATATCTGTACTTGTTTTAGTCTGCTACATCTGATTGATGATAAGCAGGATGAGGTTAAGCTCGTTACCGGTACTGTACTATAATGTATTAACTCGGACTGTTCCCTGTAACAACCTCGCCAAAAATGTCTGTCAGTATGATATTTATTTGGTATCCATGATACACAAATATATGTAAAACATATAACGTGGTACGAGGATACATCAAAATAAATCACATCATTTTGTTGGCCATCGTATGACCCGTTAACAGTACACATTCAGATTGGACAAGTAAATACCGATATGTTTACCAAATTGTAGCTAAACACGATCAACACGAGGACAGATTAGAAACATTGTCGCAAATATCAGACCAAGTGTTTAGGAAGGTTCAACTTCTATAGTTTGCCATTATAAGTATCGATACATCATCCAGATGACAAAACGGCTTAAAGCAATAAAACCACAACACATACTTATTAAACTTTTACTTATTTTAAAGGGCATAAGGAAATCGAATTTGAAACAATGAAATAATGATGAGGAGACGACTATAACAATTGTCGGTAATCAAACTCTATCCATCCCTTAAAGAAAATTAATAAAGATATTCAGAACGATCCCCAAACCTCCCCTCAGCGTTACTCCAGGGGTAACAATCACTACATCCCCGATACTTCAGGGGTAACAATCACTACATCCCCGATACTCCAGGGGTAACAATCACTACATCCCCGATACTTCAGGGGTAACGTCCACTACATTCCCGACACTCAAGGGGTAACAATCACTACATCCTCGATACTCCAGGGATAACTATCACTACATCCCCGATATACATCCCCGATACTCCTGGGGCTGCGATCACTACATCCCCGATACTCCAGGGGCTGCGATCACTACATCCCCGATACTCCTGGGGCTGCGATCACTACATCCCCGATACTCCAGGGATAACTATCACTACATCCCCGATACTCCAGGGGCTGCGATCACTACATCCCCGATACTCCAGGGGCTGCGATCACTACATCCCCGATACTCCAGGGGCTACGATCACTACATCCTCGATACTCCAGGGGCTGCGATCACTACATCCCCGATACTCCAGGGGTAACTATCACTACATCCTCGATACTCCAGGGGCTGCGATCACTACATCCTCGATACTCCAGGGGCTACGATCACTACATCCTCGATACTCCAGGGGCTGCGATCACTACATCCCCGATACTCCAGGGGCTACGATCACTACATCCTCGATACTCCAGGGGCTGCGATCACTACATCCCCGATACTCCAGGGATAACTATCACTACATCCCCGATACTCCAGGGGCTGCGATCACTACATCCCCGATACTCCAGGGGTAACAATCACTACATCCCCGATACTCCAGGGGTAACAATCACTACATCCCCGATACTCCAGGGGTAACAATCACTACATCCCCGATACTCCAGGGGTAACAATCACTACATCCCCGATACTCCAGGGGCTGCGATCACTACATCCCCGATACTCCAGGGGTAACAATCACTACATCCCCGATACTCCAGGGGTAACAATCACTACATCCCCGATACTCCAGGGGTAACGTCCACTACATCCCCGATACTCCAGGGGCTGCGATCACTACATCCCCGATACTCCAGGGGTAACAATCACTACATCCCCGATACTCCAGGGGTAACAATCACTACATCCTCGATACTCCAGGGATAACTATCACTACATCCCCGATACTCCAGGGGCTGCGATCACTACATCCCCGATACTCCAGGGGCTACGATCACTACATCCTCGATACTCCAGGGGCTGCGATCACTACATCCCCGATACTCCAGGGGCTGCGATCACTACATCCCCGATACTCCAGGGGTAACAATCACTACATCCCCGATACTCCAGGGGTAACAATCACTACATCCTCGATACTCCAGGGATAACTATCACTACATCCCCGATACTCCAGGGGCTGCGATCACTACATCCCCGATACTCCAGGGGCTGCGATCACTACATCCCCGATACTCCAGGGGTAACTATCACTACATCCTCGATACTCCAGGGGCTGCGATCACTACATCCCCGATACTTCAGGGGTAACGTCCACTACATTCCCGACACTCAAGGAGTTATGATTATTACATCCCCGATACTCCAGGGGCTGCGATCACTACATCCCCGATACACCACCGGCTACGATCACTACATCCCCGATACTCCAGGGGTAACTATCACTACATCCCCGATACACCACCGGCTACGATCACTACATCCCCAATACTCCAGGGGTAACAATCACTACATCCCCGATACTCCAGGGGCTGCGATCACTACATCCCCGATACTCCAGGGGTAACAATCACTACATCCTCGATACTCCAGGGGCAACGATCACTACAACCCCGATAATCCAGGGGTTACGATCACTACAACCCCGATACTCCAGGGGTTATGATCACTACATCCCCGATACCCCAAGGGCTGCGAACACTACATCCCCGATACTCCAGGGGCTACAATCACTACATTCCCGATACTACAGGGACTACAATCACTTCATCCCTGATACCCCAGGGGTTATGATCACTACATCCTCGATACTCCAGGGGTAACATTCACTACATCCCCGATACACCACTGGCTACGATCACTACATCCCCGATACTCCAGGGGTTACAATCACTACATCTTCGATACTAAAAGGGTTACAATCACTACATCCTAGATACTCCAGGGGTAACAATCACTACATCCCCGATACTCCAGGGTCTGCGATCACTACATCCTCGATAATCCAGGGGTTACGATCACTACATCACCAATACCCCAGGGGTTACGATCACTACATCCTCGATAATCCAAGGGTTTCGATCACTACATCCCCGATACCCCAGGGGTTACGATCACTACAATTCCGATACCCCAATGGTTACGATCACTACATCCCCGATACCCCAGGGGTTACGATCACTACATCCCCGATACTCCAGGGGCTATGATCACTACATCCTCGATCCTCCAGGGGTTACAATCACTACATCCCCGATACTCCAGGGGCTATGATCACTACATCCTCGATCCTCCAGGGGTTACAATCACTACATCCCCGATACTCCAGGGGCTATGATCACTACATCCTCGATCCTCCAGGGGTTACAATCACTACATCCCCGATACTCCAGGGATCACGATTACTCCATCCCCGATACTCCAGGGGTTACGATCACTACATTCTCGATCTTCCAGGGGTTACAATCACTACATCCCCGATACTCCAGGGGTCACGATTACTACATCATCTATCCTCCAGGGGTTATGATCACTACATCATCGATCCTTTAGGGGTTCTGATCACTACATCCTTATTACATATACGACATCTTTTGGACCTCTGTGTCGCGAATTCGAGACTTATATCCCAATGAAAGGCTCCTGCCATTCCATTGGTGGTAGGATATATTTATGTTCAATTTGAAACTAAACAAAGAAATAGAAGAATATTTGTGCTTCAGGTACTATAGAAATGGTCACAGTTGTATCATCCCTTTCAACATCAACATTGTAGAATAATTTGTAACGTTAGATACCAAATTTGCAATGTTAGATACCAAATTTTTAATGTTAGATATCAAATTTGTAATGTTACATACCAAATTTGTAATGTTAGAAACCAAATTTGTAATGTTAGAAACCAAATTTGTAATGTTACATACCAAATTTGTAATGTTAGATACCAAATTTGTAATGTGTGATGTTAGAAACCAAATTTGTAATGTTACATACCAAATTTGTAATGTTAGATACCAAATTTGTAATGTTGCATACCAAATTTGTAATGTTAGATACCAAATTTGTAATGTTATATACCAAATTTGTAATGTTAGATACCAAATTTGTAATGTTTCATACCAAATTTGTAATGTTAGAAACCAAATTTTTAATGTTACATACCAAATTTGTAATGTTAGAAACCAAATTTGTAATGTTAGAAACCAAATTTGTAATGTTAGAAACCAAATTTGCAATGCTACATACCAAATTTGTAATGTTAGAAACCAAATTTGTAATACCAAATTTGTAATGTTAGAAACCAAATTTGAAATGTTAGAAACCAAATTTGTAATGTTACATACCAAATTTGTAATGTTACATACCAAATTTGTAATGTTAGAAACCAAATTTGTAATGCTACATACCAAATTTGTAATGTTAGATACCAAATTTGTAATATTAGATACCAAATTTGTAATGTTAGATACCAAACTTGCAATGTTACATACCAAATTTGTAATGCTACATACCAAATTTGTAATGTTTAGATACCAAATTTGTAATGTTACACACCAAATTTGTAATGTTACTTACCAAATTTGTAATGTTGCATACAAAATTTGCAATGTTAGATAGCAAATTTGAAATGTTAGAAACCAAATTTGTAATGTTACATACCAAATTTGTAATGTTACATACCAAATTTGTAATGTTAGAAACCAAATTTGTAAGAAACCAAATTTGTAATGTTAGAAACCAAATTTGTAATACCAAATTTGTAATGTTAGAAACCAAATTTGAAATGTTAGAAACCAAATTTGTAATGTTACATACCAAATTTGTAATGTTAGAAACCAAATTTGTAATGTTAGAAACCAAATTTGTAATGTTACATACCAAATTTGTAATGTTAGA